TTCAGGATTGTTGATTCTCTGTTTGGCTTAGTTTTTCGGATCTTTGTTGTGGAGGGACGGCGTGGTGCTTCTGCCTAGACCGCCATCTTGCCGGAGACTTGCACACCTTTCTTGATTTTAAACCATGCAGTATCCCCTTGCTCTGTTTTTTTGTCTACGTACAGGTTCCTCATGAGCACAATTAAGAGTTCTGGAATTCCTATTCTTCGCAGTGTTATCCATAATTTGTTATGATCCACACAGTCAAATGTCTTTGCATAGTCGATAAAACACAGCTAAACATCTTTCTGATATTCTCTGCTTTCAGCCAAGATCCATCTGACATCAGCAATGATATCCCTGATTCTATGTCCTCTTCTGAATCCACCTTGAATTTCTGGTAGTTCCCTGTCAGTGTACTGCTGCGGCCGCTTTTGAATTATCTTCAGCAAAATTTTACTTGTGTGTGATATTAATGATATTGTTCAATAATTTCCTCGTTTGGTTGGATCACCTTTTCTTGGAATAGGCATAAATATGGAACTCTTCCAGTTGGTTGGCCAGGTAGCTGTCTTCCAAATTTCTTGGCATAGACGAATGAGCACTCTAGCGCTGCATCCATTTGTTGAAACATGTCAATTGGTATTCCATCAATTCTCTGAGTCTTGTTTTTTGCCAATGCCTCCAGAGCAGCTTGGACTTCTTCCTTCAGTGCCGTGGGTTCTTAATCATATGTCGACCATTTCTTTTTGGTATAGTGATTCTGTGTATTCCTTCCATCTGTTTTTGATGCTTCCTGTGTCATTCAATATTTTGCCCATAAAACAAAAACCGACTCATTGCAACCCTATACGACAGAGTAGAACTGCCCCATATGGTTTCCAGGGAGCAGCTGGTGGATTTGAACTGCTGACCTTTTGGTTGGCAGCCTGAGAGCACATAGAATCCTTTAAAATTACATCTCAAGGCTTGAATTTTTTCCTCAGTTCTTTCAGCTAGAGAAGTGCTGAGCATGTTCTTCTTATTTGGTTTTCTAACTTCGGGTTTTTGCACATTTAATTATAATATTTTACTCTGTCTTCTCGAGCTATGCTTTGAAATCTTCTGTTCGGCTCTTTTATTTCATCATTTCTCCCATTTGCTTTAGCTAGTGTACATTTGAGAGCAAGTTTCAGAGTCTCTTCTGACATCCATTTTGGTATTTTCTTTCTTTCTTGTCTTTTTAATGACCTTTTGGTTAATATTAAAGATAGAAATGAATAAAAGAGAAAAATTAATTTATGCAATGCTAAAAATAGAGATATTTGAGAAATGAATTAGTAAATGAAGTAAATCAGTGAAAAGTCTTAAAAGCAAGAACTAGAAGTGAGACCTTTTTCTAATATGTATTCCTCTCAGTAATGAACATACCACTCTCAGTGTATATATAATTATTTATGAAGTAGGTACATTTGTTATGATTACTTAATATATGAAAGCATCATATATTCTTAGAGTGGTGTCTGTTGTCAACAGGAATGAATGTAAGTGTATACTCCAAGTAATTTTGTTGACAACAGATTTTTTTCTCCTATTTGATTAAACCATCACTGTTTCTTTTCTTTTTAATTTCAAAATACAGCTGAAAAACAGCTCCTACTAAAAGTAGAACAAATGTCAACTCTCCCACATTTATTTTTGTTTGCTTGTGCTTGCATTATTATTTTTATCTTCAATCCAGACTTTCTTTTCAGGTATCTTTTTAAGCTCTTGGCCCATTTTGTAAGGGTCAGTGTAATCAGAACTAGATAGTAAAATCCATAAATCTGATAATCTAGTACTACCTAGACTGCAAATTTACCAGCTAGAGTGCCAGAGTCACTGCCTCCATGTTGTGAAACCTCCCTCCTCTTGGATATGCCTCACATGTGTCACATCTGAGTATGCACTGAGTACGGGTGCTAGGGTCAAGCCATATACTAAATATTAGTAATGCTTAATTTTCATTTTTTAATTAAGAATGAAAAACAGAGACCCTAATATTTCCTTTTCTTACCCCATGGGATCATACTACACATACATGCATATACACACATACACAATTGCATCCTCTGTATAAGGAACCCTGGTGTTGCAGTGATTAAACACTCAGCTGCTAACCAAAAGATCAGCTCTTTAAACCCACCAGCCATTCCGAGGGAGAAAGATGTGGCAATCTGCTTCCATAAAGATTTCCAGCCTTAGAAACCCTGTGGTGCAGTTCTACTCTCCTATAGGGGCACTATGAGTCAGAATTGACTTGACCACAATGGGTTATAGGTATTAGATTATTAATTAGATCACAGACCTGTTGAAAGAAAGCAGATAGTGGTTAATAAGAGCATCAACTCGAAAGTCAGACCAATCTGGACTTAAATGGAGTTCTGTGATCATAAACAAGATACTCAGCTTTTCTAAACTTCAGTTTCTTCATCCATAAAATTAAGTTAGTGATAGTGGCTACTTCATAGGGTTATGGTAAAGAATGTGATCATTCACATAAAATTAACACATAGCATATATCTAGAACATGGTATACATTCAATAAATCTTTCTTATTATGAGATAAGAATCAGTTAATGGGAGAAAGAAAGTATTTATGGAGTTTTATTTTTAAAAAAAAAAAAGTTGGTAATAGACTAAAGTGAAAAGCAGAAGAGTCAAAGACAGCTTTTGTTTATTCCTTCATTAATTTATTTGGTGAAAAATATGGCTGTTATGCATGGTACCTATAAAAATGAGGTGGGTTGGGGGTTCAACTAACATTTTCAAATGAGAAACATAAATAATATGGAAGATAGAAGTATATTAATAATTAATATAAAATTGGAAATATTTTGGAACAAGAAAGGAGAGGAGGACAAATTCTGAGTCTATGTGGATCATAAATAGCTGTGATTTCTGGACCTGACAGGTATTCCATGCTGGCCAGGCTTTCCGGTTGGGGCGATATCCAATACATTGGCATCTGCTGGGCGATTTGCAGTTTAAGTCTTATGTAAGAGGCTGTGCAATTCACCAAACCTATAACAGAGCTGTTACTATCCATAACACACATCACCTTCTGATTGAAAGGAATATTATCTATGATATCAAGGGAGGAGCATTTTTTATAGAAGATGGTATTGAACATGGTAATATCCTGCAGTATAACTTGGCAATATTTGTACGGCAAAGTACTAGTCTTCTGAATGATGATGTAACCCCAGCTGCATTCTGGGTAACCAACCCAAACAACACCATCCGACACAATGCAGCTGCTGGTGGCACTCACTTTGGCTTTTGGTACCGAATGAACAACCACCCTGATGGACCATCCTATGACCGAAACATTTGCCAAAAAAAAGTTCCTCTTGGAGAATTCTTTAACAACACTGTTCATTCTCAAGGTTGGTTTGGACTTTGGATATTTGAAGAATATTTTCCCATGCAAACAGGATCTTGTACTTCTACAGTGCCAGTGCCTGCAATATTTAATTCACTTACCACTTGGAATTGTCAAAAAGGAGCTGAATGGGTCCATGGTGGTGCCCTTCAGTTCCATAACTTTGTGATGGTAAATAATTACGCGGCTGGAATCGAGACCAAGAGAATCCTGGCTCCTTATATTGGAGGGTGGGGTGAAACCAATGGAGCAGTGATTAAAAATGCCAAAATAGTTGGTCATCTTGATGAACTGGGAATGGGGCCTGCATTTTGCACGATGAAAGGCCTGCTTCTCCCATTTAGTGCAGGCTTGACTGTATCTTCTGTAAACTTCATGAACTTTGACCGTCCCAACTGTGCAGCTTTGGGAGTGACATCCATCACTGGTGTTTGTAATGACAGATGTGGAGGTTGGAGTGCAAAGTTTGTTAACATCCAGTATTTTAATACACCAAACAAGGCTGGATTTCGATGGGAACATGAAGTGGTACTGATTGATGTTGACGGTTCACTTACAGGTAATGTTATTTTTTGATTTGTGACAAAATACATTGGAAATACGTTTTTGTTAACATAGGAAGTAGAATTGTCAGAGAAAACTGACATGAATCACAGATCTAACCTATATAATGATTTAAAGGATATAGGCAAACACCAGGCAGAGATGAGGCATTTTCTGAAGGGGCCCCAAACTGTTAGACACAGTCCCCAAATATGTCCTTTTTCTCTTGCATTTGCATCTTTATTTTGAGTTACCACCAAGTTTTGAGCAAAGTTTATGGAAACATTGATCACAAAAGGAATCCATTTCAGTTTTCAAACTCCTCCACCTTAGACTTCATTAACTGTACAGAAAGAAACTGCTTACATGAGGACCCAATTTCTCCAGCCAGCCATGTCCCATAGACCCATAAATTCCAGGTTTACTTACACGAGAAATCTAGACAGACCAGGTATATCCTGATAAAATATTCTGCAGGGCCAAAGTAAGTTACAGGCCTGCTGTTAACCCTTTTCTTCCCATGTTAAATTTAGAATTAGTATTTCAAAGAATACATTAACTGTAGTACAAAATTCAGCATACCTTTTAGCTGAAACTTTTTTAGCATTTCAAGTTCAGAGAGTGTCACATTTTCTGTAAATATTCATTATTTCTAGAATTTAGAGTTTTTACAAATGTGTGATGATAAAGGCTTGTCTAAGTAAGATAGCAAGGATTTGTGTGTGTGTGACGCATATTGCAAAATGCTATATAAAAGAGAGATATTGGCAAGCAAGTCTACAGATACTAAGGATGTACTTTTGAAAGACTCTGTAAGATGAAAGAATATTCGTCTTGATATTAAATAGACTGATTTCTCAGCTACGGTTATTGACTTCTGTCTCTGATCTAATTGTGGCTTTAAAGAAGAACATTTGGGTGCTTTTATGTAAAGCTTTGTGTAACCTTTGTTGTTTATGTAGTTCAGCTTAGATTTTTAATGTTAGTTGACAGTGCATGGGTAAAAATTGCAGGTTCTATGGTTACACTGCCTGAATCTGAATCTTTCTGTGTGTCCTTGACCAAATTACAAATCCACTTCCCATCACCTACTCTGGCTCTCATAGTTACTTCAAATCCCGTGTTTCAATAACATCTACAGTAAAGCCCTTCATCAAGGAGTCAATTGAACAGTCTCTGTATGAGGTCCTCTTGCCCCATGTCAAAAAAAAATTTTTTACCAAGACTTTTAGATTTTATCAGTGGTTCTGTGGGCCACAGTACTTTTATGTTGCAGACAGTTCACAAGGGCAACTCACAACAATAACAAAAGTGAAATAGAAAACACATGATTTTTGTTCATTTCCTAGGACACAAAGGACACACCGTCATCCCACACAGCTCTTTACTAGATCCTTCTCGTTGCATTCAAGAACCCGAGTGGAGCACTGGATTCCCTGGCTCTGTCTGCGATGCCTCTGTCAGCTTTCACCGTTTGGCTTTCAATAAGCCTTCTCCAGTATCTCTGCTGGAAAAGGATGTGGTTCTCTCAGACTCTTTTGGTAAGTGGAATATAAGAGTTTAAACCACTAATTTAAATATATTTTTCTAAATTTCTGTAATCATCTTCTTGAGTTTTCATTTGATGTTTAGAACATTGGAAGCATAATATTTATGTCAGTCAGAGTCCAGGTAGAAACAAGTAACAAGCTCGACTGGGTACTTGAGAAGCATTGAATAAATTCATGGATCAACATGATATTCTGTTGATTAAGGAACCCCTCGACAATATTATAATAGAGAGCGAGAAAGTTGACATAGCCCTTGGGGCAAGACAGTAAAAATATACCATTGTTCCTGCCACTAAATGCAAATGATTTTTATTTTCTTTGCTGATTGAGATGGGACAGAAGGAACATTTGCTAGATGAGTAGCTGCATACCAGTTGCCAGGGACTGTGTTGACTTACCGATTTTCTACAGTAAAGATAACTATACCTGGAACCCAAATGTGCTTGTGGGTTGGGCTCAGGTCTGTTTCAAGTGTGCTTCTTCCAGGGCTCAGGCTAAAGGGACAGCAGCTACTATGGTGATGAGTAGGAGGCTCTTTTCATTGCATTGGCAGAGGCTCAAAGGTCAAACACCCTCACGCAACCTCTTTTCAAGCCATTGCTTGAGTAAGTCCTGCTAATATGCCAATGGTCAAAAAAGTCAACCAACAACAATAGGGTAGCCTACTCTGCCCTCAGGAAGAGAGAAGAATGAATGGATATTTGCTGAATAATAATCAAAATTATTCTAGTTCTACACTTTTCAGGTTTTTTGGTAGTATAAGCTTTTAGTGGCTTTGCTCTAGGCCCTTTAAAAACTAACACTAACTCATGAGCCTAAGAATTAATGAGTTTAGTCCCTCTTGACATTTCCTCTTGAATTTTTCATTTGTCTTTCCCCAAAATAAAATAAGTGATAATTTATTTCATAATCTTGCTTCTAGCTTCTTCTTCTAAAATTTTTAAAGTAAGAGGTTACTTTAAATTGTAAAATTTAGTCAAAGATAGAGAGAGAAAAAAGTAGAATAGGATCGATTATTCACAGATCTTTCCTTATATTGTAAAAGACCTTTTAAAATCTTCTACTGAAGTTGTCAGACACTTGCTCATCAACAAAGCATTACTAAATTATATAGATATAGATAAATATATATATAGCTATAGTTCATAGCATTACTAAGTTATATATATATATATGTATATATATATATATATATTTCCATAACAGGTGGTCTAGGTTCCAAGTACGTTATTCACAAAATTTAGGGTATCATGGCCAGTGTTAAGTGATGGGTCTAGTTGTAGCCTAGATCCTTTAGAGCTGTAAATCAAAATTTTCCATTTGTATTTATGTGGATTTTGATTAGCTCAACAGATATGGGAGAATCTAATAAAGAACCAGAACTTATATTTGCATACACTGTAAATCAAAGAATTAAGTTCTTAAAAGAATGGAAATGGAATTATATTTTAGATCAATGGTATTTAAAGAGTAATAGTAATATATTTAAGCACTTTTATCTTAGTAGTAGTAATCATCGTATTTTCATTTTCTATAAGGAACAAAAACTCTATCTCAATTCAGAATTCCAAGTGAGAAAGCATTTTATATTTCAGTTAAATGTACATTTGGAGCCTTCAGTGAAGCAAAGACATTTAGAACATCAGTAATGAAATGCTATACTGACCTATTTGGAGAGTCCCATAGACTAGAGCAATATTTCACACTTGCACTTGCACATAAGAAGAATAATTTTCTATGAGTTGAGATTGCTGTTATTTGCTACTTGTTTTGTGTTTTCCTACAGGCACAAGCATTGTTCCTTTTCAGAAGAAACGACTGACTCATATGTCGGGATGGATGGCTCTGATTCCAAATGCAAATCACATTAATTGGTATTTTAAAGGTGTAGATCACATAACTAATATATCATATACATCAACATTCTATGGATTTAAGGTAAACAAAGAGATAAGAAATGTCTTCTAATAATTACAATTGCATATTAGTCAAACACACCCTACACTTGTTTTTACTCACACCAGTTGTTAGACTCAGAATGCGCTTGCCTCACATACAAAATCAAAAAAACTCGTTGCTGTTGAATCAATGCCAACTTATAGAGACCCTGTAGGACAGAGTAGAATTGCCCCAAAGGGTTTCCAAGGAGTGACTGGTGGATTTGAACTGCCAACCTTTTGGTTAGCAGCCAAGTTCTTAACCACTGTGCCACCAGGGCTCCCTTGCATCACATAACCATCTATTAAAATCCTGCACACCCTTCATGACTTAACCCAAATCACCTCTCCTCTAGGAAGCAAGTCAAAAAAGCCTCCATTGAGAATCAAATATAAGCATTCATTTTGCCATATTCCCATAATACTAAATTTTTGCCCCTTTATTGTTGCAATATAATAACTAACATTTATTGAGTGCTTATGATGTCTTAGGCACCAGTTAAGCACTTTATTATTTGTATTATGAAATATATCAAACATACAGAAAATTATAGAAAATAGCAAGCCAAATGTCGTATGCCCAACACCTAGCTGTCTCAGAATCTAATATTCTGTAAATATTTACGTTTTTTTAAAAGAAATAAAACATTATAGATACAGAAGTCCCCCATATAACTTACCTTGATTTCATTTCTCACTCTTCACCTTTAATGGTAATCAGCATTTGAATTAGGTGATCTGCACTCTCATACATGTTCTTACACTTACACTCCATATGTGTGCAGCCAAACCAATATCTAGCATTCTTTTGCATGTTTTCAAGTATTATAGAAATAAAATATTCTCTAAATCTAATTCTGTAACTTGGTTCTTTAGCCTATGTTATGTTTTTGAGGTTTTGATACATGGCTGCTAACTACTTAACACATGTTATCTTGCTTAATCCTTAAAACTACACTGTGAATTAGCAAGATCCTCACTTTTACAGATGAGGAAACTGAGGTTCAAAGAGGATGGAAACTTAACCACAATTGTATAGCTAGTAAGTGGTAGAGCTGATATTTGAATTCAGAGAGGATAATTCCAGAACCCACATTATTCTCATACTTATTCATTGCCTTGTATTTTAATTATTAATGCATATGCCTTGTCTAGTGGACTGTGAGTTTTTAGAAAGTGTAGACTGTAATATTAATCTCCATATCACTCATAACACCGCTCACATTATTTAGAGTTACCCACTGTGTTAACTTGTTATACATAAAATCCTTACCATAAAGATCTCAAAGCTAGACATATCCCATTGTCATATAGTAAGATATCCTATGGATATAAAGGTTTGGAGAGGTGTAGCTTGAGCCACAAGTCTCCCCAGAAAATTTAAGAAACATATTAACCAAAAACCAAACCCACTGCCGTTGAGTTGATTCCTACTCATAGCGATCCTACAGGACAGAGTAGAACTGCCCCATAGGGTTTCCAAGGAGCAGCTGGTAGATTTGAGCTGCTAACCTTTTTGGTTGGTAGCTGAGCTCTTAACCATTGCTCCATCAGGCCTTCCAAGAAACATATTAAGGAGTTAAAAATGAGTGAAACACAGTTTATTGCCCCCTTGCCTTGAGGAGTGCAGGCTATCGAGTCATTATGTCAGAATGTATGTGTGTGCGTGCCCTCGCGTGTTCACACACACGCTCTATCACCTATCTATCTGTCTGTCTTTCTATCTGTCTATCTACCTGTCTATCTACCTATATCTAGAGATCCCCTATCTGAGTCTTAACTGATTATTTCTTTCATTGCCTTAGTACTCATAGTGACTGTTTAGGACAGAATAGAACTGCCCTGTAGGGTTTCCAAGGAGTGGTGGGTGGATTTGAATTACTGACCTTTTGGTTAGCAGCTGTAGCACTTAACCACTGGGCCACCAGGGCTTCACTACTACAGCTAGCATTATTGCCATAAACCAAAAACCCATACCTGTTGCTGTGGAGTGGATTCTGACTTATAGAAACCCTATAGGACAGAGTAGAACTGCCGTATAGGGTTTCCAAGGAGTGGCTGGTGGATTCAAACTGCCGACCTTTTGGTTAGCAGCCAGGCTCTTAATCACTGCGCCACCAGGGTTCTAGGCATTATTGCCATAGATGTATAAAATGTTAATAAGTAAAATATGGAACAACGGTAAGATGAAAAGCAAATTAAAACCAAAACTTTAATTTTTAAGATAGAGGCTAATTTTATGTGATAAAATTAATGCCTATTATGCAGAGTATTAACACATAAAACAAATATTATTTTACTGCAAACTTTTATAGAAAGAAGATTATGTAATCATATCTCATAATTTCACTCAAAATCCTGATATGTTTAATATTATTGATATGAGGAATGCCTCTTCAAATCCATTGAATTGGAATACTAGCAAGAATGGAGACTGGCACCTTGAAACAAACACTAGTACTCTGTACTACTTGGGTATGTATTTATTAGGCAGATGCGATTATTTTTATCTAGTGCTTTGTCTAAAGGATGAGAAAAATTACTTAATGGACAACTACGTGTTATACAGTACCCTGTGTATAACAGGATTCAATAAATGTTTGTTGAATGAAAAGACTAGAGACTCTGACTTTATTATAGAGAAAGCACTCTTACTCATGGTCCCAAGACTTTTATTTCACAGAATTGGAGGAAATGTGTACAATAGAAGCAGACTTACATTTGTTGGTTTTTATTATTTAATTGTTTTTGGAAAATAAAATATTTAAGAGTAAACATTATTTTAAGGTTCTGAACTATTTTTTATCAAGATATTTTTATTACATGCTTCTCAACAAAACAAGTACTTTGGCAGAATTTCTCCATAATTGTTCTATAAATTTGAATTATGCCAAGTTATTATCTAGAGCCTATCTTCCAAAAAATGCCGTGATTTTTGGCATTCAAGTACTTTGATTCAAGCACTTGGATGCTCATGTTAATTTAAACTACTTTTGCTTCACTTTCAGTATCAGGAAGAAATGACCTCCAACAGAGTCAGTCTGTTTCTGGGACACTGGATCCCGATGTGAAAGATGTCACTATTAATTTCCAGGCTTACTGTTGTGTTCTCCAGGACTGCTTTCCTGTACATCCCTCATCAAGAAAACCAATTCCCAGGAAGCGACCAGCCACATATAAGTATGTAGGCCTTTCCTTGTTTAATACCCTTTAGTATGTCTTGACGTAATCATCTTTCACGTGTCACTCATGGGGGAGATAATAATGCCTTCCTCCTCCTGCACAATGCTTTGCAAGTCACAAAGCACTTCTACATATGTCACTTCATTTGAGCCTCATAAACGCCCTGATAAGAAAATGCAAATATCTCATTTAAAAAAATATATATATGTATCTATATATATAGGTGTGAAAGTTACTGGAAATCTCAGATTTGCAGAACTTTTGGTCTGAATTGTTAGACGCTGTCCAATTCCCTTATTATATAGGCGAGAAAGCTGGAGCCCAATGCCCTTAAGTGAATCTGAGACCACAGACTGTCTCGATGACACATCCAGTACAGCCCCAGAAACTAAGTCTCCTCATTAGTCCAAATGCTTTCTTAGCAAGTAGTGTCTCTTTTTCTGGAATAACATTCATGGTCAAATCTCATTATAGAGTTTATTTAATTTTATTTCAAGTATTTTGCCTCTTAAATATATGTTAATTTTTCTAGTCAAATAATTTTTCTATTTTGGAACTTGTATAGATCTTTGTTTCTCATGTGAAATATCACTTTTTACCTTGTATTATAGTATATTTTTTACATTTTTTTGAACTTTTTTTTCCACTAGTCTGTAAGAACCTTAATGGCAGAATCTGGATTTTACGTGTCTTTGTGTCCTTATGGAGAAATAATGATGATAATAACGATGATGGTGATCACAAAAGTTAACATTTGGTGGATACTTAATAGTCCCCTACAGCACCACTAATTGCTATTCATTAGGTGAATTACATTTTAAAATATATAGCTATTGCAGTAGCTATCGTACATCATAATAATAATGGAATTTATTTATTCTTTCATTCATTAAAGTGTATTTATTGATCACCTGCTGTGTACCAGGCACTGTGCCAAACAGTGGGAATTTTTGACCAACAGGTTTCTTGATTATATAACTATCACCTTTTTTTAACAGAACAAACTGTATATTAGCCCTTTGGTAGAATCCCAGATGAGTATCATAGAATTTTGAAATTTTTTCCTAGGTTAGGAGAACAACTTCTAATTGTGAATATTTTTCAATAGAAAGATATCATTGAGTTTGTAATAATACTCTCTATAAATTTGCATAAAGAGATAGTTTCTAGAAGGCATATTAATGAAAAGCAGAGACTGTCCTCCATTGTATTTTCAAAATTAACAAAACCTTCACTCTAGATACAGTCACACACAAACACACACACACACACGCACACATGCACACACGCCTTCCCACTCCACCCCAGGCCAGTGGCTTAACCTCATTGACTCATCCTTGACAATTCAGAGACCATTCTTCCTGCCGCTCGCTTCACAGAATCAAGTCTCCCTTTCCTCATGAAATAGCACAATTTCTTCTCACTTTTCCACCATGCAACATCTTACAAGGAAATGAAATAATTTACATTTTAGACAAAATTAGAGTGTCACAAGGATTTAGTGGGAGAAAAAAGTGATTCATATTGTGAATAGAAACGAAGTTTTCTTCAATGGAGAAAAAACTATATATATGTAGTTTGTATGTGTCAAGTATTTTACTAACTTCACATTAATTTGTCTATTTAGTGAAACTATAAACTAATTTACATTTTATCATCTCAAGACATCTAGTTTAGTGCTATACCCTAAGGAGATAGTCATGAAATATATGGAGATAATAATTAATGGGAATATTTCTCTTCTTTTTTTCAGTTTATGGTCAAATGATTCTTTTTGGCAATCATCTCGAGAAAATAATTATACCATACCCCACCCAGGAGCAAATGTGGTTATTCCTGAAGGTAAACACATAAACATAAATTAATAAAATGCTGTTTTTCTGTAACATTAACACTATGACAGGATAGATGTTCCAAGAGTTAGCTTTCCACCTTTATGGAGCACACCTTGGGAAAAGAGCAGATTTGAAGAGATGGAGTCTATTATGTCCCAGGTACTGAAAGTAGCCTTCTGGGTTTTATGTGGATTTAAACCTGAGTATTAAGAATAAGAGGCTTCCTGGGAGAGATTGGAACCAGTTATTGTGTGGAGTGATAGGTCATAAACTTGAAAAACCAAGGCTCATTGGTAAGGTTGTCACTGTTTTCCCGGCAGGATGTAGTGTATGGATTATATTTCTTATGTTAAAATATTGTTTTATAGGAACATGGATCATAGCAGACACAGACATTCCCCCACTAGAAAGGCTTATTATTTGGGGGGTTCTAGAACTGGAAGATAAATATAATGTGGAAGCTGCAGAGTCTTCTTACAGAAAGGTTGTTTTGAATGCTACCTACATATCACTGCAGGTAAGAGTGTACAGGAAGGCATCTTGTATTTATATCCCTATTAATCAAATTCCAAAATGTAGGCAGTTTACTTAACAACTAATAAGAAAGCATATTTAATTGGTGTGAATAAAAGCACAACTCCCATAAAAAAATGTAAGTCCAATATGTTTCTGCTCTTCTTTAAATTATAGACTAAACATTCCTTAAGGAATAATTATCATTGAGTATGAGGTTTGCCTGGCTTCAGTTCTACATAGAATATTTGTGTTATGACTAGCTCCAACAAACCAAAAATTCCAAGCAGTGTTGGAAAATATTAAAAGAATTTAAGCCTTTTAAAAAAAAAAAAAGGTAAAAAAGAAAACAATATTTCTTAAAATGAATAGACATAATGGAATTATGAAATCAGGACCAGACTAATAAACGTTTCAATTTTTGGATCACCTCATTTTCTCATAAACCTCAGATGGTCTTGAACATGTAACCATTTAATCAGTTTAATTGTAACCATTTAATCAGTTTAATTGTTCTGTCAGTCTTTTATTATTACTCATTGAAAAGAATAGCTTAACCAGAAATCTATTTAAGCACCATTAAACATGATTAGTAGTTTTTCTTTGATCATAGTGATAAAGTCCAGAAACTAGATCTGCTTTAAAGGCAGATAGTCCATTAGTTAGATGCATGGGCTTTGAGATGCATGGGCTTTGAATCCTGACCTCACTGTTTATTAGATGGGTAACCTTAGGTACATTTTGAATTCTTTCTGCATCAGTTTTCTCATCTATGACAGGAGAATAATAATACCAATGCATTAGTTTAATGCAAAGATTAGATGGTATATGTAAAGCCTTACATGTTATGCCTGACATAGTATCAGCAAATATTTAAATGATAACCTTTATTATTACTAACAATGATGGCTCATAAATGGCATAGCTTGGATGCAAATATGAAGAGTCTATATTAGATTTGATGTAGTATGTTAAAATGCAGTGTAGCCTATTTAAACATCACTACTTTAGATCTTAGCAAGTCTCAGTTCTAGATCCAGTGCTTATCAGGAGTAGATAATTAATTTAACCTAGGAAAAGTCGTTTAAACTGTCTAACCCAAAATGAATGTGTTAAGGTATAACACTCTGTTCTTTATATTGTAACAAAATTCATTCACTTTTACAAGAGGAGGTTACCAGTGACTTCTTAATTCCTTTTTTATAGGGGAATTTCTTTTCTGCTCAATTTTTAAGTATTAACAATTTTCTGCTTCACTGCAGGGAGGTAGATTAATTGGTGGCTGGGAGGATAACCCTTTTAAAGGAGAACTACAGATTGTACTTAGAGGAAATCGTTCTACCCCAGACTGGGCTCTGCCAGAAGGACCAAATCAAGGGTCAAAGGTCTTAGGTATGTGTCTCTCTATACCAAAAGTGTCGTATCAGTTTTGGGAATCCAAATTATAGTGGCAAGGTTCATGATGTGATGATATCAGAAGATTTTACAGATATTTGTTTACAATAAAGGATTCTAAAAAGAAACAGTAGAGGTTTTAAAAATTAAATCATGTGAGATTACACTAGACAGTAATATAGTGTGTATATTGTAAATCAAAACACAATTCATTATAAAGACTCTATTAACAAATTTCTCCATATATGTATTACGTTTTTCTAATCTATTTTTCTCCAAAATATTTTCTATATATAAGTAACAATACTTTTCATATTTGAGTGATTTTACCCTAAAAAGAGAACTTTCCTACAAATTATGCTATTCATAGTATTAATAAATAATCTTGTGGATCAGTTGAACTTGCTATCAGTTATCCAATCACAAGTGTTCCTGAGCTTTAATTTCCCAGTTGCGTTGCTATAGCCATGAATATTCCTACCTGACCATGGAAAGCAAATATCTGGAGGGATTTGATTTGGTCACAATTAACAACTGCTTTAATTAATACTAAAACCAAACCGAAACCAAACCCACTGCCAGCAAGTCGAATTCCGACTCATAGCAACCCTGTAGGTCAGAGTAGAACTGCTCCATAGGGTTTCTAAGGCTGTAATCTTTACAGACACAGACTGCCACATCTTTCTTCCGAGGAGCAGCTGGTGGGTTTGAACTGCAGACCCTTCGGTTAGCAGCTGAGCACTTAACCACTGCACGACCAGGGCTCCTTTAATTAATACTACTGCATATTTATTTAGAAGACCTATACAAGTGTGTGCTGCAATTACTCCACTGTGCAATATCTAAAACAGTGACACTCAGTAAAGAAGGAAATTAAAAAATGGCTCAGGATTGAGTAAGTCGCCTCTCCATCGGCAAATATCCTGAGGCAGACAAATGTAATCTTAAAAAGTATATATATTTGCTTTTATGTGTTTTTTTCCCAAAAACTAACGCTTCAAATGACACAGAGCAGTATCAAGAAAAAATATACACCCTTTCCAATTCTACCCCCTTGAGGAAACTAGCATTGGTTAACAGTTTTTACATGTCTTTCCATGCTTTTTATCTATGCTGATATTCATATTATACATATTGATATGTTGTGATAGGATTGTTCCTTTTAAAAATCATTGTCAAACTTAAGATATTATTATGCATCTTTTCTCACTTAACATACTATGGACATCTTTCAGATCAATACAGGTAAAACTTATCGTTTTATAGCATAATACTCCATTGTATGAATATACTATAATTTATTCCTTCATTTCCCAATTGACATACATTTGAATTTATTTCAGTTTTCTGCTGTTTCTAAACATGGCAGTGATAAACCTCTCATTCATGTGCACTTGTGCACTGGCTTTGATTTCTATGGACCAGATTCTTTGAAGTGGGTCAAAGGGTCAAAGCTTTCTTACACAGCCCATGAGCAGATAACCCCAATTCATTCCATTCATTCTATACTGTTCAAACGCTTATTAAAATGTGTCATGAACTGATTCATTTTACACTAGAACCTAACCCAGTGGTGCATGGTTGATAAATAGGAGTGTGTTTTTCTGCTTCAGGGGTGTTCGGTGAGCTGGATCTTCATGGAATTCCACATTCAATATATAAAGCTAAGCTCTCAGAAACCGCAGAGGCAGGGTCCAAAGTCCTGTCTCTGATGGATACTGTGGATTGGCAGGTAAAGGAAATATGTGGCTGAAAGTGCATACACACAGTGGGTCAGCTTAAAAAGATAGCATTTATTTTCTCAAGTGATTAACCAAGAGAGAAATGTGTATTTTACCATCAGTTTGCACTCCAAAAGCTGATCTGATAGCAGTATTTAAAAATTGTGGTCTCAAATGTCCTTGAGAATATATGAAGATCATTATGTATATATTAGTCATGAAAGAAAAGTATGAAAGTTTTAGGTGAAAAATATTTTTTATTAAAAATTCTTACAAAACAAGAAATGAGAATACATCTTATTGTTATCTTGGTTACCTCTTTGCTTCTACTTTGTGATTTTACATGCTAAAAATTTGGAAAGAAAACAAATCCAGATGTCCAGAGTTACTTAAATAATGCCTTATTAAATTATACATTTTGGTAAAATATGAATAGTGGCAATTCCTATCCGTATTATGCTCATAAACGTGTATAGGCCATAGATTCCACGTTTTACCAATATACTGTATAATACCAAAGGATCAGGAAGGGGATGAATTCAATCTCCAGTCTCTCAGATCTCAGCCAGCTTCCTTTTGGTGAAGATGAACTTTAGGGTCCCAGAACAGAGAGAGCTTTAGTCCAAACAAATCAATACAACTCATTAAAACATATGGGTTTGCTCTTCTAATGTAGTTGAAAATTGGTAAATAGAAGAGAATTTATTAGGCTGTACTATAATCTATAATAAGGTAGTCTTGTTTGTGATAGTTCAAGTGTGATTACTTTTTTAAGCGAGAATAATTAATTAAAGGATTCCAATATCCCTATTATTTATGCAATTAATATTTTCTAAATGCCTACTGTGTTTCAGACATTCTTCTAGGCATTGGAGGTTCAGAGGTAAAGACACTATCATGTAATCATGGCATTTGCATTGGCGTTAAAGAGGCAGACTAAATGAGCAAATGTACATACAGATTGTATATGCATGTGATGAAAGAAATAAAACAGGCAGCGTGATAGAGACTGTCATGGCAGGCATGGCAGATAACATTAAATATGGTGACCAGAGAAAGCCTCTCTCAAGGGTGATGTTTGAGCAGAGACATGGGTGACAAGAAGGAGCTTAATATACAAAGATTAGATCCTAGGTCTTGTCCTTGAGCTTTAACTCTTCTCTGCCTTTCCCACCTTTCAGAAATATCAAGTGATAGTTAATTGTGTAAAGGAAATTGGGAAATTTTTTTTTCAAGTTTTAAGAATATGTCCTGACTAGTTTTTAATAAAAATATGAATATATTTGCTTTTATATAATTATTTAAAAATGTACATTGCTACAATTCCTTTAAATGATATAATTAAAATTTAAGAAAATGCAGAAACAATTAAAAATTCAGAATTCTTAATATCAAGCACAAGTATATTTTTATTTTTACAGACCTAAATGTACAGTTTATTCTTATTTATAATGCCATGATTGCTAATCAGTTATAAATTAAATGAAAATTATTTAATAGTTATTACTAAGAAATAGAAACCTATTTAAACAACTGTTATTGAATTTTTCTAAGGAGGGTGAAGAGATTGTGATAACAACCACAAGCTATGATTTCCAGCAGACAGAAACCAGAAGTATCGTAAAAATCCTGCACGACCACAAAATTCTCATTCTCAATGATACCCTTTCCTATACTCACCTTGGTAAGTGGCTGCTCTTCGCCAAGTAGGTACATAATTAAAACGTTTTGAAATATTCACATTTCTAGTGCTTGCCTCCTTAATTAAAATTATTTGACAAAACATCTCACAAATATATTTCAGAGGAGCATTACACTCAGGTTTGCACTGGTACCCAAGTACCTCTATTGTTTATGTGCTAACTTCTAACAGTCACTACGGTATGCATTTATTCATTCAGCAAATATTGAGTTACTCCTACATGCCAGGGAGCAGGAAACAAAGCTAATATGGACCTTGCTTTGCTGTTCATCTCTTTATTTATGACACTGCATGTAAATATCTGTTTATTCATTGGTCCTTGCAGGGAACTGTGATCTTCTCAAGAACACAGATGTGCCCCAGTGTCATCGTAAATGTTCAATAAATATTGATTGAATTACTTTACCTTACTGTTTTATTTACCAAGGTTGTAACTTCAAGGCAAAGAACTAACTTTTTAATTAGAATTTTAATCAATCACTTTTAAAAGAATATGTAGACTTGGATTATTGTGATTTTTCTTGATGATGATGATTCAACCAAAAAAATGTATTAGTAGATGATTGTACAAAATGAACTAAGAAGTTTAAAGAAAATATGTTTTTGTCTCCAGTCTGTATTAGAAATTGGAAACCTGGGGTATATAAATTTATTTGACTCTCTTCTTTCTGATTTTTACATAGTGTAAAGGGATGATTTGAGTTAAAGAAAACTAATATTTCTTTAGTTAGCAGGGTAATTGTTTTCCTCTTAGCTTTCCAGAATGGCTGTTTGAGAAGTCTTCAGTTTAATATGTAGTTCGTAACCTTCCATCTTGCTTAGCTTGCTTCACGAAGCACAACCTATTAAATCCTTTGTTCAGTTGTGACTAAGGAATGTGTCATATAGAAACAAATTAGGAAAATGATACTCTAAAGTGGTCTTTCTAGAAGTGTAGTCACCAGACCACCTGCATTAAAATGACTGGCAATAGGGGGAGGTTGGAGAGATGCAAAAAGGCTGATTCGTGGGCACTACCCCAGACCTATGGTACCATATTGTCTGAGGTAAGGCTTGGTACTCTCTGTTTTAAGCAAGCTTCCACGTGATTCTATGCACAAAGAAATTTGAAAACCACTGATCCGAAAATATCACTGTCCGAATTTGTTTCATTGGCACACTCCTCAATTGTAACTGTGGTTAGACAGGCTACAGAGAAATGGTAAAACTATAATTCCCAAAAAGAGAAAGAATAAATTAGAATCATTTGAAGATAATTTTTAACATAGGTACAGGGCCTTCCTATTACCCTAACTTTTTCCCATTTGACATGCTACACTCATCCAAATCTCAGGAAGTAGGAATAGACAGGAATGTAATGTTAGAAGAAGCCCTGGTGGTGCAGCGGTTAAAAGCTCAGCTGCTAACCAAAAGATCCACCAGCCGCTGCTTGGAAACCCTATGGAGCAGTTCTCTGTCCTGCAGGGTCACTACGAGTTGTAATCCACTCAGTGGCAGTGGGGTAGGGGTGGGGAGATAATGTTAGAAAAAACCAGTCAGATGTATCTGATGCTCAAAGAACCCCAGCTGTAAGGTGGTTTGATAGACTAGTGAACATTTAACCTGAATGAGGAAAAAAAAAAAAAAACTTTAAAAGAACTAATTAAAGCAGTATTTTGATGGAAGTACACACGTCTATCTTTCTATATCATCTATATTTCTTTAAATTGAAAGAAAAAGTTTTTTTGAAGAACATTTAATTGAAAAGAAAATGATTTTTTAAAGTTTGACACAATAGATTCTTTCACTTAAGGTACCAAACATTTCTCTCTGCTGGAAATTCACCAACTTGTCTTGAAGTATTGAATAAGATTTCAAAAAATGTAGGCTATAATTTACGTTATGTTTTACAAATCCCTTAAGATGTAAACATACAGATTGTGTCTGATATACTACTACATATTTATAAAGAGTTGTGATTGATACAAAATATGCTTTAGGGAAAGTGGAGCAAAGGTTTAGTAGGCTGCAGGAAAGATAAAATTACCTGTGAGTTACTGCTTGCCTACAACACCTTGGGCTAATTCTTTTACTTCTTTACCTCATTTCCTCATCTATTAAAATTACAATAAGCTTCTCAATTTACCTTGCAACATTGTTTCCAAGTATAATTTGAAGTGATTGAAAACCACCTTCAAGATCTGTTAAATAATTTCATAATTACTGATTATAACAATCTTTTTTGTATAATAGAAATCTTTTTTTTGTTATGTTTCAGTTTATAAATTAAAAGATATCATACTTTCAGTCTGACATCTATCTGTGTTTAAACCTGCAAATCTAATCAATTCATGAGTTTGTGTTGACTTTTGGGCTAATAGAAAATTCTTTATCCTATGACCTGAAAAGAATCTAATGAAGACAGGGGTTTCTTGGCATTGGTAATAATCTAGCTGATGTTCTGTTGCAGCTGAGAAATACCATGTTCCTGGCACAGGTCAGAGCTACACACTAGCAGCTGATGTTGGGATTCTGAGTAGAAACATCAAAATCCTTGGTGAAGATTATGCGGGTTGGGTTAACGAATCTTTTGGTGCACGAATCCTGATCAGCTCATTTACTGAAAATATGATGACATTTACAGGTAGGTACAAATCCAATTTGTATTTCTAAATGAAATGTAAAATGATCTATTATTAATTAGTTTTCAAGACTTCTCATTTTTTTTTGTAGGCCCACATGGAAAAACAGCCTTGAGAGGGATTATGTAGCCTACACTCTACCTTCCAATCAGATTCCCTAACATTGTTAAGAATTATTTTATCTTCATAAACTCTAAGAATCATCAAATTGACAATGAGTTTAGATGCCAGCTAGACCAGCCTTGTACCAAAACATAAATCATTTTATAATAAGTACAACAGATCATCTGTTGGTTCTGTTTTGTTTTAAGGAAAATTTCAAACATGTACCCAAAAAAGAGAAAACAGTGTAATGAATCCTAATGTGGCAATCACCAGCTTCGACAATTACAGACCTCAGCTAATCTTTTTTCGTCTATGCCTCTACCCACTCTTTTCAAAGCTCTGTATTACTTTGAAAGCAAACATTTCATATGTAAATATTTCAGCAGATAACTCTAAAATATTTTTTTAAGAAACATATCTACAATACAAATATCAGACCTAAAAAAACAGTCACAATAATTCCTTATCATCAAATGATTGTTCAAATTTCCCCAGTTAGTTGTTTTCTTCCTTCCTTCCTTTGTTCGTTCCTTCTTTCCTTTCTTCATTCTTTCTTTCGCAGTCTATTTGTTTAAATTAGGATCTAAGTAAAATCCATGTTGCAGTTTATTATGAGTTTTAAGTCTCTTTGATTCGTTTCTCTTTCCTTTCAATTTACTTATGAAAGAAGCTAGGTCACCTATCCAACAGATTTTCAAATGGTCTGGAATTTAGTAATTGCATCCCTAGAATTTAAATTGTTTCTCTCGCCCTTGTATTTCCCATGTGTGGGTAGTTAAGAACTACAGGCTTATTCAGATTCAGGCCCAATTTTTAGGCAAGACTTCTTCATAGGTGGTGGTGTATTTCCCATCAGTAGACACATATTGTCTAATGTTTCTCCTTTTGTGATACTAACAGCCATTAATGACCATTGCCTGAACCCATTAAACCACCGAGGTTTAAAATGGTGAAATTCTAACTCTATCATTCTTTTCTCATTTATAATCAGGAATACTTCTATAAAGAGAAATTTCTTAAACAACTGTTTGACTATTCTAAATGACAGTTCATATAGGAAAGGCAGGAAAAATGCTTGATTCTTTCCTCTTATTTACTAGTTTTCATAATAATGAGTTGAACCAAGAGCTTTTGTTTGTTTGTTCTGTTACTAGTATCATTATGAGCTCATGGATTTAAAAATATTTATGTATTCTAATCTATTGTGGTTATTAATCTTATTGATGCTCAAAATGCTTCATTGTTGACCTTTGGAAACTTTTCATCTTGATGCCTAAGTTCTTTGGACATGACTTAGTTTTTTTTAACCTCTTTGCTTTGTAATATAACAAGCGTATATTGTAAATTTTTCTCAGAGACTGGGAATCAGTCTTTCCTCCAGGTAATCCTGGTCTTTTTTGTTGAAGCTAGTATTTGGATTCCACAATATGGGTACCAGGGACAGATCATCCATTCTTGTCTTGAACTATTTCAACTGGTTCTCACTTGTTCTCAGTACTGCCTGTTCCACTGTCTTACTTGTCTCGTGCTGCTATAACAGAAATACAACAAGTGGATGGCTTTAACAAACAGAAATTTATTCTTTCACAGTCTGGAAGTCTAGAAGTCCGAATTCAGGGCACCAGCTCCAGGGGAAGGCTTTCTTTCTTGTCAGTTCTGGGAGAAGGTCCTTGTCATCAACCTTCCCCTGGTCTAGGAGCTCCTCAGTGCAGAGACTGCAGGTTGAAAGGACACACTCTGTTCCCATCACTTCTTTCTTGATGGCATGAGGTCCCTATCTCTCTGCTCGCTTCTCTCTCCTTTTATTTCTTGTAAGATAAAAGGTGATGCCAGCCATACCCCAGAGATACTCCCCTTACATTGGATTAGGGCTGTGACCTGAGTAAGGGTGTTGCATCTCACCCTAATCCTCTTTAACATAACCTAATCTTGCCTCATTAACCACAGGCAGAGATTAGGATTTATAACACACAGGAAAATTACATCAGATCACAAAATGGTGGACAACCATTCAATACTGGGAATCATGGTCTAGCCAAGCTGACACACATTTTAGGGGGACGCAATTCAATCCATGACATCTACCTTGCAACAGCTCTAACTGTAGGAAGTCTTTATATTAAGCAGCAACTACCCCATTATAACCTTTACCTATTGGCCATAATCTGCCAACAGAAGTTTAAGTGATGCTGGTGATCATGATATATGGTCCCAGGCACTGTGTTAAGCATTTAACATGTACTATCTCATTTAATCCTCACAATGCTATGATGTAAAAATTTCCCCCTTTTTAAAGATGGAGAAATAAATGGTCAGAGAGGTGAAGTTACTGTGGCCTTGAATACTAATCCATGTCTGTCTCACTTCAAATTACATCCTGATTCCCATGATAACCTTTTGTTGCTCCTATCAATTGCTTTGTGATGTGAGTTAAGAAAACATACGTATGGCTTTTGTAGGCCCAGGTGATCTGTAGTAACCATCTCTTCTGTGTTTCTACCTTACTATTCTTGTGTTCTCCACCATGTATCCACTCTCTGGCCCATGGATTCCTATACAGACTTTTTCCTTCTTGTACAGAATAACTCTTCTCTAATCCATTCTATTAGATATAAGTTTTTGAAACAGGGAATATTCTCTACTGCTAGTTTCCAGCCCTGAAACTGTGCTTCAGTTTCCTTATCTAGAAGATAGAATAGTAAAAGTTCATAACTCATAGGATACTTCAGGAGAATTAAACCATGTATTGCCTGTTAAGTACTTAATACAACACTTGGCACAGAGCAATTTCTCATGGATTGCTATTGCTCCAATTACTAATCTATGAATTTGCCTCTTGCTTACCTTGATAGTACTTATGACAAGCTGACCAGAAGATACTTTGCTCTGTACAGTCTGAAAGAAATGATATAAAGATATCCCTTAAAAGCTCTTCAGTATCAGAATTGAAATGTCAGGTCAATTATACCTTGTGCCTTATGTTATGCATTCTTGATGGGGGCAATGCCACCTCCAATATGGTGAAAATTGGTTCTTGGAAGACAGAAAAATTCAGATGTTGCAATGGTTTTGACCTTTTGAAGGGCCACTGTACATTGAGAGATATGCAGTGTACTAGTGGCATTAAAATTTCATGGGGCAGGGGGAGCGATTAGGAGAAAAAAGTCTAAAAGGACACCTCAAGGGAGCAATGAAAAAAGGTTGAGAAACACTGCCTTATCTGGATAAAAGGAGCAAACAAAAAAGCAATTAATGAAGTTTCCATGAAAATTTTGAACAACTTTGTGTAAGTTTTCAAGAATTATGTATTTGTTTCTGGGGAAAAAAAATTAATCTTTTTCCCCTCTAGGAAAAGCAAGAATAAGTAATGTCGAATTTTATCACAGTGGTCAAGAAGGCTACAGGGATAGCACAGATCCAAGATATGCTGTAACGTTTCTTAACCTAGGACAGGTTTGTATTTCATTTTATTGTTACATATATTCGAAATAAAATCTTCTTATTTCTATTTTATTTTCATCTAACTTTACTAAATAATCATATCTTAGAATTGCTAAAACTATAATCTAATCTAATCAAACTTTTTTGGATGCATTTCGCATTAATCTTGTTGACTCATAACAGCAGGGGGTTCCACCCATTCATGCATTTATTTATGGTTGTTAAAAAAACTGTAGAAAAAGTAGCACAGATAAAAATATAAATGCTTCGAAAAATCCATCAGAGTTTGTTTTTTTCTTTTATAACTGCATTTAAGGGAAATATGTTTTTGCTTTATTTCATCATGAATTCAGGGTGTATGGAAAGTTCCCTTGTAGAAAAGACCTAGTGAGAAAACATCTCATTTAATGGAAAGTAAATTGTCAAGGGTTATTTTCTGAAAATCATCCTACTTCAAATATTTTTATTTAAATATGTTTTAATTTCACTTGCAAAATGTTCAATGAGTCCCGATGTTTTATAGATTCAAGAACATGGCTCATCTTATATTCGAGGCTGTGCTTTCCACCATGGCTTTTCCCCAGCAGTTGGTGTGTTTGGGACTGATGGATTGGACATAGATGATAACATCATTTACTTTACAGTGGGAGAAGGTAATATAATAATATTTTGGTTCAAATCACATGTATTTCTGAAGCAATTTTATGTGTAAACTCTAGAGTTGTGCTGTATAATTGATATTTCTGCAAGGATGGAAATGTTCTGTATCTGCACTGTCTAATATGGTTAATTAATAAGCCACACATGACAGTTGAGCACTTGAAATGTTGCTACTGTGACTGAGGGACTGAATTTTTCACTTTAATTGTTATTAATTTAATTTTGTACTTAATTCAAATTTAAATCGCCACGTGGTTATGGCTACCCTGTTGGACAGTGCAGCCCTCGAACATGAAGAATTATTAACAGACTCTGATTACATGTAAGTTATCTAGTCAGTAATAGCTTAAATTGCTATTATCTTAAAAATACTCTTCATATATCGATAACAAAAATTATTTGCAAATAAAGGCTATTATTTTATAAAAAGTTATATACAATTTTAGACATGTTATCTTTTCTTGAATATCAGTATAAAGCATAGTGAAAACATACTTCATGTATATAAAAATCATGTGTGTGTTTGTTAAAATCTGAAGTGGAACCCATGAACCCACATATTTCACAAGCACCCTAGGGGATTCTGATTCAGGTGGTATATTAAAGATGTGGTCTCAACTATCAAAGGTCATAAGACTCACTCTAAAGTCTAAGGGGATCATTTGTCAAGCATCTCTAGCAAAATAATTTCATGGAAAAATTGAAGACCTTCCTCATAGTCTCTATTAAAAATTTACATCTGTATTTTGGGGCATGCTCACTCTTTCTCTTTCTTTCTTTCTTTTTAACAGGAATAAGAATATGGGGGGATGCCAACAGAGTCCGAGGAAATTTGGTTTCACTTTCGGTTTGGCCAGGAACCTATCAGAACAGAAAAGATTCAAGTTCAACTCTCTGGCATGCAGCAATTGAGGTAGTATAAACAAATTTATAATTTATAATTGCCTTCCTGCAGATTATAGTTTCTGCAAAAATTGTTTAAGTCTCAAAATGTTGACAATTATTTCTTCCATAGATATAACTGGTAAAAATGAGCCAACTAAAGGAGTGAATGAACTTTCTTAAAAGATATGATATCCACTTGTTGGTGTTAGGTGCTGTGGAGTCGTTTTCCACTCATGGCGACCTCGTATTACAAAGAAGAACTGCCCCATAAGGCTTTCTTGTCTGTAATCTTTATGGAAGCAGATCACTAGTTCTGGATGGGTTTTAACTTCTAACCTTTCAGTTAGCAGCTAAGCTCTTAACTCTTCGTGCCACCAGGGCTATACTTACTGTTGAGTTTTTCTATTGATGTCCATTTGTTTAAATAGTTTTTATTTCTGTGCTCCTTCAACATTATTCAACACTTTAGAGTTCTGATTTCAGAGTCTCTCTCCTACTAGTTGATGGAGTGCCTTGAACATATTACTTAACTCTCTGGTTTTAGTTTCCTTCCTCATATGAACAATTAGAATGATAGACTATAGAATCTCTAAAATCCCTCCCTTGTCTAAAATTGTTTTGATTCTATATTCAAGGTTATTTACACTTATCTAATATTACTAATTGGACCCTTCTTGGTTCCCATGAGGAGCCCTGGTGGTGCAGTTGTTAAGAGCTATGGCTGCTAACCAAAAAGTCGGCAGTTCAAATACACCAGTCACTCCTTGGAAACCTATGGGGCAGTTCTACCCTGTCCTGTAGGGTCACTATGGGTCGAAATCAACTCGACAACAATGGGTTTTTTTTTTTAATTTTTGATTTTGGTTCCCATGACGTTTCTTCAATTATTGTAGGTCTTTACTTAGATGTGAAGCAAGATTGAAACCCAAAACCAAACCCACTGCCATCGATTCCGATTCATAACTACCCTATAGGACAGAGTAGAACTGCCCCATAGGGTTTCCAAGCCTGTAAAACTTTACAGAAGCAAATTGCCACATCTTTCTCCTGTGGAACAGCTGGTAGGTTCAAACTGACAACCTTTCGGTTAGCAGCCAAGTGCTTTAACCACTGCACCACCAGGCCACTGAAGCAAGATTGCAACAAGAAAATAGAAAGTACAGAAGAAACGCTTTGGAGGAGAAGATAGTCAGCTTTCTCTGGTTTTTATATTATTTATATATCCATGAGAAACAAAAGGAATTTAAAATAGGCCTCTCCAAAAGCAGGATCAGGACTGAGTTTTGTTTTTTTATAACTATTTATAATTACTTTAAAGTAAAATTTGAAAGCCTGAAACTTAGAATACACTTACGAGGTAAAAATGTTCTCTTGTCATCTATTTATAGATGTTAGAATGCAATCAAATGTCAATTCAAAATCTTTAAAGTTAACTATGGCTTTTGAAAGAAAATGGTGTTTATTGTACATTTATGGATTCCATTTGATGCTATTTTTATCATTATCTTTAAAAATGAGGCTATTTAATATGATTTAAATGATGGAGACTTTTGTCTGTTTTGCTGACACCACAGGGAACAATTAACCCTTCTCTGCTCTGTACTTTTACTTCCTACCACTTTGGCTTAGTTTATGAAGTCAGATTGTTTTGCAATTACCTAACATTCATGCTAACCTAGTTTTTTATTATGGCAGATTTTATTTAAACTAATGAATGGCTTTATTGAATCTTATGGTTTTTTTCTTAATAAATCAAATTGGTAACAGAATAGAACAAAAAAGAGTGATAAAATACTTATAATCTTGCTATCATACTCACATTTGATCTATAGCTTATAAAAAACTATATCCAGTGGATTCTGCGACTGAAATAAACAATAATCTCTTTAATACAGTTTTCTAACAAAGTCCAGCATATACTACCCAGTGATGATTTCACACCAAGAACCTAATGTAATTTTTTCCTAAATTTTATTTATTTTGTTGTTATTGAGAGTATACACAGCAAAATATACACTAATTCAATAGTTTCTACAGGTACAAGTTAGTGACATTGATTACATTCTTCGAGTTGTGCAACCATTCTTACCTTCCTTTTCTGAGTTGTTCCTCCTCATTAGTATAAACTTACTGCTTCCTAAGGTTCTTATCTAATCTTTTGGGTAGCTGTTGTCAATTAGATTTCATAGAGATAGTTCTTATAACAGCATGATGCTCAAGGCAGATCTTTTTTTACTAGTTAAACTAAACTATTGTTCAGTTTTAAGATGACTTCAGGGGATATTTTTGGATTAAGGTTTAAAGATTATCTCAGGGCAATAGTTTCAGGAGTTTGTCCACCCTCTGTGGCTCCAGAAAGTCTAGAAGCCATAAAAATTTGAAATTCTGTTCTACATTTTCCCTCTTTTGATCAGCATTCTTCTATGGAATTTTTGATCAAAATGTCCAGTAATGGTAGCCAGGTATCATCCAGTTCTTCTGGTCTCATGGCAAAGGAGGCAGTTGAACCTAATGTAATTTTAATATGTCATTTGTAATATGTTGGAATGAGGAGAGCAATGAATTAAATTTTTCCTTTTGAAAGTGTAGTCATAATTATAAGTGTTTTCCTACGTATATTACAAATGTGCTCTCATTGTATAATTGTTTGTGAAACAGCCTGACCCAAAGCATTCTCTTTATCATTTCACTAGATAAATAGAGGGACCAATACAGTCTTACAAAATAATGTAGTTGCTGGATTTGGAAGGGCAGGATACCGCATTGATGGTGAACCTTGCTCAAGTAAGTCATTTGGAATAGAATAACCATAACTAGGCTGTAACTTGTCCATATTTGTTAGAAATCAGTAACTACTGTTGGTCAGTTCAATACATGATACCTCTTTCTTCTGTGTACTGAAAGAACTCAACATGCTGAATTATTTCAAGCTAACATTTAGTTAAAAGAAAAATGGATAGGTTTTTAAAGATAACTTTGTTTTTCAAGTTTATTATCCAAAACTATAGCTAACAACAACTTCAGTTCTTGATTTGGTTGGTATTTGAACCATAAGTATCTTATCCCACTACTACTTTCATTTTTTTTTTAGACTTATAGAATCTCTAAAATCCCTCCCTCATCTAAAATTGTTATGATTTTAGATTCAAGGTTATTTACATCTCTAAACAGCACTTCTAAGCATGTCTATAGGAATATGCCACTATTCTGTGTTATGAGTTGGAATCGACTCAACAGCAACAGATTTTTCTTTTAATTTATATGTTAAAAACTGCTAGCATGAAAAAGTCAAAGGATGTGAACAGAATTCTCAGATATATTTCTGTCTATCAGATTAGTAAAAATCAAGAACTAACTGAACAGCTAATCTCTTGGCAAGGCTGTTGGGAAATGGGAACATTTATACATGGTGGTTGAAGGACAAAATGGTATATAAATCCTACATAGAAGAATCTAGCAATATCTGCCAAAAGTACAGGTGCATTTACCTTTAACTCAGCAATCCCACTTCTGATAATCTAGCTAAGAGCTGACTCTACAAAATTAGGAAATTATTTGTGAACAGGGTTATTCATCCCATCATAGTCTACCCTGTGTCTAATCATGGTAAACTAGTTGTATAAACTTTGGTAAAGCCAAATGTTGAAGCAGTTGTTGTTGTTGTTGTTGTTGTCAGGTGCTGTTGAGTCAGTTCCGACTCATAGCAACCCTATGTACAACAGAACAAAACACTGCCCGGTCCTGCGCGATCCTCACAATCATTGTTACGCTTGCCCATTGTTGCAGCCACTGTGTCAATGCATCTCGTTGAGGGTCTTCCTCTTTTTCACTGACCTACTTTACCATGCATGATGTCCGTCTTCAGAGACTAGTTCCTCCTGATAACGTGTCCGAAGTATGTGAGATGAAGTCTCGCCATCCTTGTTTCTAAGGAGCATTCTGGTTGCACTACCTCCAAGATAGATTTGTTCGTTCTTTTGGCAGTCCATGGTATATTCAGTATTCTTCACCAACACCATAATTCAAAGCCGTCAATTCTTCTTCGGTCTTCCTTATTCATTGTCCAGCTTTTGCATGCGTATAAGGCAATTGAAAACACTATGGCTTGGGTTAGGCGCACCTTAGTCACCACCATAAGTGACCCTGTTGGTATTTGAATACCGGTGGTATAGCTTCGCAGCAACACGCAAGCCCCCACAGTGTGACAAACTGACAGACACATGGGGGATTGAAGCAGTAGGCCCCTCTAAAAAAAGAACAAGAGCTCTGTGTATTGATGTGGCAATATCTCCAGAATATTCTTATAATACTGTTTTGCAGCTAGTCTGTTTTGTGGAAGAAAATAATATATTGATATTGTTTGTGTTTACATTAAAAAAAAAACACTATATACAGTTCTCTGCCTTCATCCTCTTGGAGAAACAAGGCACTTTATGTGGGTTACCTCCCTTCATCTTGAAATAAACTGCTTAGGCATTAAAACTTTTTACATATGAGGAAATTGAGGTTCTAAAAGGTTCAACAACTTTCCCAAGATCATACATACATTAATTCAACAAATATTTAATGAGCCCCTGTCTCTATAATACCTTCTAGGCTCCAGAAATATTCTAGATGGTGAATGAGTTAGACACAGTGTCTTCTCTTAAAATTTACAACCTAGCAGGAGAGAGGAGATAGATAATACGCAGATCAGTAATCAATAAAATAGCAAATGAAAAAATTTTAATTGCAACATAAAGTGACTACTTTGAATCGAATATCAGGGAAGGCCTTCTAAGGAGGTGACCCTTAACTTGAAAATGAATGACCAGAAAAAAACTGGAACAAAAGGCACACTGGGGAAGCATTTCACTAAAACAGCAAGTGGTATTATTGTGTTTTAAGTTTAGGCTTGTTTGGATCCAGACTCCATGCTTTTCTAACAAAATACGTGTTTAGTTTAATCAGATGCAGTAAAGCAACCTTTTGCAAATGATTTTACAGTTATTTTCAATAACAATGAAGAGACAAATTAGAAAGAGTAAATAGTAAATAGAGAAAACCATAAATGGCAGAGCCATAAAAAATATTATTTTACATAGATACGTATATACATACATATATATAATTCAGATGTAAGCTTTAACAAAGTGATCAAATTTATATATATATTTTTGAAGAATTTTATTAACTTTAGCTGATATTGCTTATTAAAATTGCATAACATGACTTGTGATATTAATTCTGTGTTTCTTTATTTCCTTTCAAGGCCAGTCGAGTCCCATGGAAAAGTGGTTTGACAATGAAGCCCATGGAGGTTTATATGGTATTTATATGAACCAAGATGGCCTTCCTGGATGCTCTCTGATACAGGGATTTACCATTTGGACATGCTGGGATTATGGAATTTATTTTCAGGTAAATGTGATCCACGATGGTGATTGTATATTGTCTTTTATGATTTCCTTAGTACTATGTAACCTACAAATTGTATTACAGACCACAGAGAGTGTGCATATCTCTAACATGACCCTGGTTGACAATGGAATGGCCATTTTTTCAATGATTTACATGCCAGCTGCTGTATCTCACAAAATTTCCAGTAAAAAAGTGCAAGTTAAGGTAAGAAATAAATACAGCCTCACAACTCTTTGAGTGTAAAATTATTGAAGAGTTAGTAAGAATGATCTCCTTGACTTCTACCCTTGGCTAGTCAACACCTCCCTGCCTTTGCTCTCATTGGCCTCTGCTGGAAGGTTTTCATCCCTCTGTCTCCTATCCCCTCTCTCCACCTCTTCTTACTCATCACCTGTTCATCTTGCAACAGTTGGTTAAATTATTCACTTCTTATATGAAACCTTTCCTGAACCTGCTTAGGTGGTATTGATACTCCCTCCACTTTTGTTCCTACTGTACTCTGGACAGAAGTCCCTGTGTGGCACAAATGGTTTGCACTCAACAACTAACCTAAAGGCTGGTGGTTCAAACCCACCAGCTGTGCCATGGAAGAAAGGCCTGGCAATCTGTGAATATTACAGCCAAGAAACCCTATGGAGCAGTTCTAATCTATAACACATGGGGTCACCATGAGCCAGAATTGACTCTACAACACTGGGTTTGGTTTTTGTTGGTACCTTGGACATTTTTCTGTTATAGAAACATAACATGTCATTATATATAACTACAAATCTGTTGTCCCCCTCCCACTTTGAGTGTCATTCCACTAAGGGCAAAAAGCATCTTTGTTTAATGAATGATCTACTTCTTGAAACTTTTAGTTGTCTTTTGCTATAGTGGAATACAGCATTATTCATCATTATATTTTGATTTAGGAATAGCTATTATTAAAACTATACTATTCAACTTTTTTTTTTTAAATAGAGATCGTTAATTGTTGGAAGCAGCCCTGCATTTAATTGCTCTGATGTCCTAACTAATGATGATCCTAATATTGAACTTACTGTTGCCCACCGGAGTTCTAGACCTCCATCAGGTGAAAATTTTGGAAACCTTAATATTAGTATTCATATGAACATATATTCAAATTTCATTAATTTTTTTTTCTTCTGTAAAAGGTGGGAGAAGTGGCATTTGCTGGCCTACTTTTGCTTCGGCACATAACATGGCACCCCGGAAGCCCCATGCAGGAATCATGAGTTACAATGCCATCAGTGGCCTTTTGGATGTCTCAGGTAAGTTTAAATATCATCCTTTGCTCAATTAAGCTCTATAAAGAATATGTAGAGTATTACTAATAATGTTTCATAGTTAGTAAAAAATAATGATTTAAATGAAGTTTTATATGAACCTGCTCAATATGACAAGCAAAGAAATCAGACATCAGAGTCAATTTCAAGAATGGTTCCCTGGCAAAATCCTTATATATTGAAGATTTGACATTTAATTTTCTTTCTAAAATATTATTTAAAGACGCTGGTATAGTGATTTAATATTAATTAATTTCTATAATTTATAAAAACCTTCTTATATAAGTTTACAACCTTAAGAGACATTTTAGTGATTTGCCAATTTCCACAACTAGTAGCAGAGCTGGGATTAGAAACAAGATCTCCTGACTCAAAATTCACTACTCTTTCACTGAACCAGGCTGCCTCCTTAGAAATGTAAAATAATTATATATAAATTACTGTCAAGAACACATAAGCTATTTTTCCATTTTGTCTTTAAATACCCTGTGCCATTCTATATTTCAGTTTAGCAAATCTCCCTTCCATGATAATTTTAACCAGTGTCTCTTCAAAATAAAGCAGTTCAATAAATTAGACATTTAAGTTTTGACATATTATTCCCAATGAGTTTAAGTCCTAGAATTGTGAAACATGTGACCATCATTTTTCAGTGTTACTTGTCATGGTGATACCTTTGGAGAAAATCATTTAACATGCATTATAGGTTTTAATTGAACATATATTGCTTTTAATAAAAAGATATTCTGGAAGATTATAAATAGCATATAGGAGTAAAAATTTCTTTATTAATTGGAGTCTTATGAATGAAGTTTCTTGAAGGAACACAAATAACTGTTTTTCTTTTAAAACATATCATTTGAAAAGATAATATATGAATGATGGTTGTCTTAGGTTGGATGCCCTAGAAGCAGTGCCTTAGATGACAATTTTTGTGCAAGTGGTTTCTTGAAGGAGTGCTCTCAGGAGAAAGGGAGTCAGGGAAACAATAGGGCAAGAGAAACTGCTAAGCAAGGAGAAATAGCTTCACTTGATCCTGCCAAGAGCTCTGAAGTGTAAATTGCACCACTGAGTTGACTTCACATTTGGTGGGGAAAGGAATCTGGCCTTTCATACTCCCATATTAGTTAGTCATTGGTTGCTGGCACTCAGAGTTTTAAATCCTATGTGATGGAAGAATACCCCATATTGACACACTCCCCCTTATCCAGCTTTATATTCTGTCCCCCTTGACCCAATACCATCACAATTCACTCTCAGACATATTCTCCTGGATCCTGCCAGTACATTTTAGCCAAGTTATGCAGCTCCTTTTGTGTATAATTCCTCTCTTTTGCTCTCACAATACTGTTCTTTGCAAAGAGGGCAAGAGAACAATAATGTTTTAATAATTTGCATTAAAAATCACCCCCCAAATTTAGGAACTTTAAATATGATTAGCTCATATTCTGTGGATTGGCAAATTGCTCAGCTGGGTGGCTCTCCTGCTCACCTCACCTAGACTTAGTCATTAGATTGGTATCAGTTTACAGGGTGGCTAGGGGCTGGTTAGTCTACGATAGCCTCACTTCCATGTTTGGTGGTTGGTACTTGCTGATGGTTGGCCCTGGCCATTGGCTAGGATGATGGGGGTGATAAAACCACATGTCTGCAGCAAACTAACCCAAGGTTATTTCTATGCTGGAAATCACATAATTCCCAAGAGCACCAAGAGAGAACGGACGCTAATATGCAGTCACTTTTCAGATCTTTGTAAATATCATGATTACTATCGGCCCATTGACCAAAGCAAGTCATGTGGCCAAACCCAGAGACAGTGTGGGAGAGCACTACTCAATGGTATGGATACAGAGAGGCAACAGTCTACCACAGATAGCCATAGACTTGCTAATATAAGTGGTAGACTTATCCACCACATCAAGCAAGAGCTCTATGTTCAAGGTAGTTCCAAAGGATGTGTTTGGTGAAATGTGCATGAAATGAATCTGATTTTACCTTTTTTCTATAGAAAAGAATTTTTTAATTATTTGTTTTTTTTAGGTTTAACATTTGTTGGATTTAAGAATGTTTGTTCAGGTGAAACTAATGTAATATTTATTACTAACCCTTTAAATGAAGATTTACAACATCCAATCCATGTGAAGAACATACAGCTGGTTGATACTACTGAACAATCAAAAATACTTATACATAGGCCTGATATAAGGTAAAATATATGAAAACTCAGTTTTTCTTTCCTATTTTTATATTTTTCCTTTTCACCTTTCCTTGCCACAGATCTGAGAAAGTTGCTATATTAAAATAACTGCTAATTTCTACAAAACTTTAATCAGCATTATGAAAATTAAGACTATTTAATAACAAATCTAAGTGTTCTCAGTTAAGCTTAAGAAGCTGGGCCTTAATATGTCTGTTTTCTCACACTATTTTTTTCCATGCATTACCAGTAACATTGTCATTAAATAAAAGATAGATATGGGGTCAGAAGTGTGTTCCACATTAATATCTCTCCATCAGTAGTCATTAAGGGGGAAGAGACACCTCTATCATTTCTTCTGTTTTCCTTTCTGGTTTTGCTACTAATTACTTTCTGATTATCACATGTACCTCAACCTGTGCTTAGAAATTAAATGTCAGTCATTATAATCACTGTGATTGTGAATATGCAGAAACTTTGAACAGTGATTTTTTCTAATCAGTTGGTATCAGAATATTTCTAGAAGCTCATCACTTAGATTCTAAGTCTTAAAGGAATATAGGCAGTAACTACTACTTTTCCTAAGAGGCACAGGCCAGGAATTCAGATATCAGACAATACTGGAGTAAAAAAAACCTTTCTATTAGAGATCTTGGACCATTTTCAGTTATAGGGGGAAAGACAAGAAATAATGCTGTCTAATTAAATAGACATCTCTTCAGAGAAACACAGTATTTCATAAATAGTTTGATTTGGTCTGATTTTGTTTTGACGACAGCCTAACACCTATTCATCTAATAATTGTTGCACTGCAGTGTTTTTTGACTCTTTAGAGTCCCTCTCCACTAGAAAACTATTAGCTCTTATTTAGTGTTACTGAATCTTTCAGATTTAATATATAATTTAAATATTTAGAACATAAAGAAAATATTGCATTTTCAAATATAATGTTTTTGAATTCTGTGCTTGCAGTGGTTGCTCTCCCAGATTGTCTTTACCAGGCAGTGCACTCATTCCCTAAATTCTCTAAAAGTTGGCAAATAACAACCCAGTTTCCCCTTCTTAGCCAAGTGCCCTGTCTGTTTATGTATATAGGCAAAGGTCTGCATGAATATGTATTAATTTGCAATTGCTGATGAGCCTAAGAGCTTGATAGGAAGGTGAAGGGGACTGAACTTTTGTTAAATATTTATATTATCTTATAATAAGCATGCAATACTTTTATAATTTTTAAAAACACACTAAAAAGAGAAAGAAGGAAATAATAATGAAGACTTTCCTGCCAAAGTAGGCATTTTATATGTCCTATAAAGCAAAGTAACCATTCACAAGCTCTATAGGGCAATATCAGCATATTGTAAGCAATGCATAAATAGGAAATCTACCCTTCAACAAAATATGGATTAGCCAGATGGAATTCTAATTTTATATCCCACAGGTATAATGTGTCCTTTTGAAATGTTAATGAATTCATAATAATAGACCAAGTCAACACAATGGAAAAACAGACCTCATTATAAAGATAATTATATATGCTACTTGGTCCCACTTTGAATCTTTTCTGAAATGACAGGATTCAATCAATCACTTTTTTTTGATACCCATTATCAAATATTCAAATTTCTCTCTAAGAGCAAGGGAGGAATACTAAATCTAAGTATTCATTCCTTTCACCTTTTCTCAACAGTAAGGTGAATCCATCTGATTGTGTAGACATGGTTTGTGATGCCAAAAGGAAATCTTTTCTTAGAGACATGGATGGCTCCTTTCTGGGGAATTCTGGTTCAGTGATTCCTCAGGCAGAATATGAATGGAATGGAAACAGCCAACTTGGAATTGGAGATTACAGAATTCCTAAAGTGATGCTCACATTCCCTAACGGAAGTAGAATTCCTATTACTGAGAAAGCACCTTATAAAGGTAGGTTGGATCTTATTCTGTTGTTAATCCTGAACTTTGTTAAACAAAGTATATCTTTTATTTTTAATGATTGATGTACTCAACCAGTAACTTAGATTTCCTACTTAATAATCTTCTATAAAAAGAAAAAAACAATATATGGGTACTTATGCAAAGAGATTCCTTTTCATTGCTCAAATATATACACGTTTCTAGGAATTATTAGAGATGCAACCTGTAAATACATTCCAGAGTGGCAGAGCTATCGGTGTTTTGGGATGGAATATGCAATGATGGTTATCGAAAGCCTGGATTCTGACTCAGAAACTCGAAGACTTTCACCAGTGGCTATAGTGAGCAATGGTTACGTTGATCTCATTAATGGTAAGTTTTCAATGAAAATGAACTAGAGTTACTTAAAGCATTCACTTTTTATTAAAGCATGGTACCATTTCATAAATTATTTTCCACATAAAACTAACAAACATCAGAACTTCCTTTGCCTTCCATTTGTAAGAAAGATCTATGTGCAGGGGAGAGACATGACTCTTTAGCAGTCTCCCATACTAGACAGCCAGGTCAGTTGTTCCAAACTGACCATTAGAAGAAGAGGCGCAAGGTGGGAGGACTTATTCCTGAAGTGATCTTCATGCGTATATTAATAACATGGCATAAATATTTTGAAGAAAAAAGTTAGCCTGAGCATCTCCAAAAAGACAATTTGCCTTACATAAATTAAAAAACTGATAATTTGATAATGTGGACTATCTGAGTAAGCGTTTTCCTAGCCTACTCATTTTTCATTCTCATGAATCTTCTGAAGACATCTTGAAAACAATGTGCTTTTCTCATCTCTGATTTCTTTGACTGTCAAGAACTGCTTGATAAGCTCCAGACTCTAGGTTCCTTCAGTTTGGGTTCCAGGTGGCTCTAGTGCAGAAGGAAGGTAATGGTCTCCATGAGGGATCCAGATCAACTTAGGAGACCAAGCCTTTTTAAGTGAGTTAAAGGTGCTGAAAACATAGTCCAGGAACTTATTGTGTATCCTTGAAATGACACTGGGGGCTCAAAGATTAGTCCCCATGCTGGGTTAGGGTCTCTCATGTGCTGAAAGGCCATATACCCTGGATCAGACAGATTTCTGTGCCTTGGCAGTATCATAATATGCACTAAAAAATTCTAGGATTTAACAAAATAACCAATACCCCACAAAAATGTAGATTTTTAAAACTTGTTAAAGAGAATAGAATGAATTAGGATATCCCGTAGAGTTTGATGATTTTAAGTATCTCCCCACATCTCCCACCCCAACATACAATCCGCTTGATTTCTGTGACCTGAAATCAACCCATAAATGCCTTCCTTCAGATCTTGCCAAGCAGAGAGATTATGGGAAATCTTAGAGCAGTAAGTAAATAACAGAGATGTTTTCAAATTGCTGTTTTATGTGGTGGAGGAAGATTTCATTGTGTTTATTTTTACATTTCCCTTTTCTGGCAGTAAACAGAAGTTTTCCATCTTCAAAGTGACATAAAGTTTGTCTTTAAAATGAATTTAAATTTTTGAAAAATGACCGTCATTTTAAAGAAAAGTCTTAAGCCAGTAATAATAGCGTGTCAGAAATCATGAAGGCATTAGAAGAATCACTGAAGCTTAGAATGTGCTGCACTAGCCGGGGGAAAAAATTGTCCCAAGATACAAGTTATTGAATCCCACTAACATTTTGTTTTAAATCTTAATATTTGGTTTTATTTATTTTTAAAATATGACTTTTTGTCACTGAATTTTTCATTTCATATGTAGAAGCCTTTTTATGTTTGTTTTCAAAACCCACAAAGAAAGTATATTTTAAAAGTAGAATTTATATTATGGATGCTAAGGCAAAGGTTATGTTTTCCTTGAGCTTTAGAAGTACATATTGATTTAAAATTCAATTGAAGTTCAGTTATAAATATTGATAATACTTCCAAGTGAGCTAGGAAATTCAGCAAAGCTAATGAATAAATACATCAATAAAATTCACCGTTCCATATTTTACTCAATGTTTCATATATGTATAATCCCAGCCACTTTAAAACTGAAGTGAAATAGAGAAATGTGCTATGCAAGTCAGGTCAGACCTGTTCTGGAAATATCTGGATTCAGATAGAAAAGTGTCCACAATCTCCTGACTTTCTAGAGGGTTTATAGACTTGTTCTCAGAATACTTCAGTTGTTAGTCCTCAAATACACACTATTGCAATGCTTATGTATATACTACCTATAATCAAAGTCCTTAACGAAATTTATTTAATTAAAATACAATAGAGGATGATTGAAAAGTGTCATGCTTAAGTGTTTGTTGAATATGTAAATTAATGAACAAATGAGTGAGTAAAAGAAAGAGTTGATGAATCCATCTAAAAAAAAAATACAAAATGTTATCTTCCACATGCAGACCCCATTTTTAACATACTAATTACAGCACGTTTCTCAGCAAAGAGCCTGAGAAAGTTGATTCCCTACCCAAACTCAAATTTGATAGGCAGGAGAAAAGATCAAGCTTTTTTTTTAATCTCTCACCTTGGGACCTGGACTTAAATGGCAAAAATGATTGTTAGAGATAGATGTAAACCTATTATTTTCCTCAATGACCTTCCATGTAATCCTCATCAGTATGTCACTTTACCCTTCTTATCCTGGGCAGTAAAACTAAAGATAATAGAGAGGAGTTGCTTCCCTGTGTTTCTTTTTAAGGCAGTGTTTGAGAAATAGCTTGTATGGGTTGACAAACAGTGGGTATAAATGCTGACCTTGACCACTGTAATTTGTTTTTAATACAATTACCCTTCAGATATTGCACTAATAGGAAGTAACAATACAGGAACATGAACTTTGATTTTGTGTGGATTCAGGCCCACAGGATCATGGCTGGTGTGCCGGATACACGTGCCAGAGAAGACTGTCCCTGTTTCATAGCATTGTAGCTCTGAACAAATCTTATGAAGTTTACTTCACTGGCACCAGCCCTCAGAATCTTCGACTGATGTTACTTAATGTTGACCATAACAAGGTAAGGCAAGATGGAAATAATTTCTGAGAGTCATTGGTGTTGATTATTTGCACATAATCCTATCTGCTAAGGACAATATTTCTGGCCCTGTCCTCTAGAACGTCATCAGCCTAACAGCTCATTGCCAAGGACCATCAGGGTATTACTAAAAAGGCTATTAACACAGGTTCCATGAATCTAAACACATGTATGAGTACCAAACCCTCCCATATACACTTGATTCTGCTTCTCCATATATGAGGTGTGACTGTGAGACCTATGGTTTATGTAATTAGCAAGCAAATCTGAATTTTTACATAAAAATAGTACCCCGGTCAAAACTAGTCACTTGGAATTATGTATTTATTCTACAATGGTACTATTATTTGTAAATGTCAGAAATATTTACTTGGGATTTACTTCAGAGATTGTAGTACATTATTAAAATATCTTCAGTAATGTCAAATCTTTGCTGTAAAGTGAATTCAGCTGTGTCCATTAAAGCTCTATACTCTAAGACATTTGGAAAGAGTGTGAGGTTAAGCAGTAGTTTTAAAACTTAGATTTGCTTTTCTATGACTGTGAGACTAAAAGTTCCAGAGTGTCAGAGATGTGGAGAAAGGACAGTGATGAGATGAATCAGAGAGAGGAGTAAAGACAGGAGCCATCTCCTCCTCAGGTGATAGCAATCCCAACCTTTCTGTTGCGCAAGAGAAAACCTTGGAACCATTCTTCACTCCTCTCTTTCTCTTAAAGTCATCTAATCCATCTGCAAATCCTGTTGACTCTCCCTTCAGTAAACCCAGACTCTGACCACTTCTCACCACCTGCACTGCTACCATCCGTTTGAGTCACCATCATCTCTTATCTGGATTAAGGCAATTGTCTCCCAACTCATCTTCCTGCTTCTACCTTTTCCCCTCTGTCTTAGTTATCAAGGGCTGCTATAACAGAAATACCACAAGTGGATGGCTTTAACAAAGAGAAATTTATTCTCTCACAGTCTAGGAGGCTAGAAGTCCAAATTCAGGGTGCCAGCTCCAGGGAAAGGCTTTCTCTCTCTGTCAGCTCTTGGGGAAGGTTCTTGTCATTAATCTTCCCCTGGTCTACGAGCTTCTCAGTGCAGGGACCCCGGGCCCAAAGGACGCGCATGCTCTTGGCTCTTCTTGCTTGGTAGTAATGAAGTCCCTCTGTCTGTCTGCGGGCTTCTCTCTTTTATATCTTAAAATAGATTGACTCAAGATACAGCCTAATCTCGTAGATTGAGTCCTGCCTTATTAACACAACTGCCTCTACTCCTGCCTCATTAACATCATAGAGGTAGGATTTACAACACATAGGAAAATCGCATCAGATGACAAAAGGGTGGACAATCACACAATACCGGGAATCATGGCCTAGCCAAGTTGACACACGTTTTTAGGGGATAGACGGTTCAATCCGTAACACCCTCTATAGTCGATTCTCACAACAGTAGCCGGAGAGATACTTACACAAAACATAAGTCAAATCAGTTCACTCCTCTGCTCAAAACCCTGCAATAATTTCCCCATTTGCCTTTGTATAAGAGCTAGAGTCCTCACAGTGGCCTCCTAGGCCATATGGGAATCTCCCCTACCCCTTACCCCTCTCTCTTCCTCTTCTTCTCAGCCACACTAGTCTCCTTACCATTTCTCAACATACCAGGCAAGCTGCCACCCTGGGCCTCACTTTTAGCTATTGTGACTGCCTGGAATATTCTACCGTAGGTGGCTAACTCACCCACCTCCTTCAGATGTTTGCTCAAATCCTACCTCTCAATACCTCTCCCAGTTTGGCTCTTCCAATTACTCTTAAACTCTGCTCTAACTTCCCTTTTTTCCATAGCACTTATCACCTTCTAATATGCTTCATATATTATTTCTGTTACTGATTGTCTCCCTCCCCACTCTAGAATGTAAGCTCAGAGAAGTCAGAGATTTTGCCAAAGACTGGACTAGCACCTGGCTCAGAGGAGATATTCGAGTTTTGGTTTTAGAAAAATTGAGTGAAAGATAATATTTTTAATTTTAAAAATAAGAATGGTAACTACAAAGTAATATGACTGTTAATATTCTGAGCCTCTGAAGACAATATCAAAAGAGAATTCCAAAACTATATTTAGTTTCCTGGACTCTCTGTCCCCTGCTTATTAATACCTCCCTGCCCTTACAAAAGCCAGTCTCCTTACTTTATGGTTATATCTCATAGCATGAAATGTAAAGAAAATAAACATGAAAAATGAACAAAATTGAATCAAAGAGGATAGTTATTTTGACTTGTTTTTATTAGGCTTACTACCACATTTTTCTCAGAGATAAGCTTTTTTTTTTCCAGCATTGATGAAGTACCTAATTTTGTGTGGTGCACATTATACAGAGCACTATTGAGCACTACCTCCCCCTCCCCCTGGCTTTGAAAGCTTCTACTGTACTTTTTTACCTTTTGAAGGAACACTTTCTTTAATTTAGAGGTACTCCTCTAACCATTTTTCTCTTACATTACATTTTCTACTGTCGTCAGTTAAGAGTTAAGTTGTAATGTCTATATGAATGGATGACTGTAAGCCTATTTTTAAATTTTAGTTCTTTATTCTAAATCCATAAAAGTTAGTTTTAATAATTCACAGGTTTATGCAAGGACATTTTTTAAGTGCTGAATTCTAAATATTCTGTTTCATTGTTCTCTTAAGACAAAGAATGTTGTTTATTTTTAACAGGCTGTTCGAGTGGGAATTTTTTTTTCCACACTTCAGCGTTTGGATGTCTATGTGAACAATTCATTGGTCTGCCCCAAAAATACAGTATGGAACCCCCAACAGAAACGGTGTGAACTTAATAGGCACCTGTATACAGGTATTTCCCCAGGAAAATATAGTCCACATGGTATATGTTCTTAAAGCCCAAAGCAAACCCACTGCCGTTGAGTCGATTCCAACTCACAGTGACCTTATACGACAGAGTAGAACTGCCCTATAGGGTTTCTAAGGTTGTAATCTTTTTAGAAGCAGACTGCCACATCTTTCTCCTGCAGAGTGGACGGGAGGTTTGAACTGCCAACCCTTTGGTTATCATCCAAGCCTTTAATGTATATGTTCTTAGTTACCTCTAAAATCCTTTGTAGTGTTTCATTATTAAAATTTTAGTTTTAATAGAGGGTTACTATGAATCTGAATCAAATCGATAGTGTTCAACAACAGCAGCCATTGAAGAATGTAGGAGAAAATAAGTTTTTTAGCCATAGTCCACCAAATACAAAGATGTGCTCATTTATAACATATGTCCCCTGAAAGATCACTCTTGATGGAACCTTTATCTATCTGCACACATGCAGATGTAAGGTTCTGTGCATGATGGACATTCCTTTGCTCCCTGGGAACTTTTTCAGTCTATATAACATGGATTCAGTTATTCCTATGTACATGAAAGATTTTGCTTAGAATGTCTACCCTATTTCAGCTTTATTTTTTTTTCATAGCGGTCAGAGCCTAAATAAATTAGAAATCACCAGATGTATTGCCAAAAAAGCTAGTATATTGCATCAACTGAACCCCATGAAGTAGATAGGGTAAATTTAACTCGATTTAAATGAAATATTTGAAAAAAGCTAAACTTGCCCATTTGCCTGTATTTGTAAAACAAGGATTTAACTCTGTTCATTTAAATCTTTTTGTTAGACTGACCAGGGTCATACGTGCCATCTCCACATATGCTACTTATTATCATTTGTATATGTACCCCATAATCTTGGCTAAACATTTCATAAACGTGTGCTGTAGATCATAATATAAACTGGACATGTTAGTATGAATAGGTAACCCACATTCTTTACTATTTTTGGAGCAAGCCCTCTTTCGTCTAATAATATAGCTTATGTTTCCAGAGGCATTACTATGTGCCAGGCATTATTCTGAGAGCTTTACATACACTAGCTCATTATATTCTAATAACAGTACTATAAGGTAGGCATGGATGAGTAAACTGAAGCACAGAGGTGAAGTTATTTGTTGAGGTCACAGATCTGGTAAGGACAGAACAAGGGCATCTATTGTAGAACCCATGCTTTTAGCCACTGGGCTATATTGCCTTCTTATAAGCTAAGAGTCAGTAATATCACTTCTTATGTTCAAATGATTGTACATATTTACAGCTTAATTTTTTATAATCTTTAACTATTTTTTAAAACAATACTTTTGGTGCCAAGTGCTATATAGTTCAAACTCAGGAAATTAGAAACCTTCCCAACAGGCAGAATTTAATATAGAGAATTGATTACACGGGTGCCGAAGGGCTGGAAAAGCAAAAGGGACAGTATGATATAACAGGGATATTAACTAAAGAAAGATGCTACCCCACTCATGGGGCTGAAGGAACAAAGGGAAGACGTGGGAGATAGATATATATTCCTGTACTTATTCAAGTTCAGTCTACACTGTTGTGTAACTACAAATGTTGACCTTTTGACTTCCAATTCTTAAATGAGAAATTTTAAAACTTGAAAAGCTTTCTTTACCCTAAGAGTGTAGTGACATAGCAGAGTGTTTAAGGCCACGGGATTTAGAGTGAGACAAATTTAACTTCAAACCCTAATCCCTTCCTGTTACAAGCTGTGTGACCATGAACAACTTTGTTAACTTGACTAAAACCTGAGTTTACTCATCATTATAATGGAAATAATAGTTTACTTATTGTGTCTTGAACATTATCTGGACCACAGTGATGCAAAATAAATAGTGGTAGATGAACTTATTTTAGTAGTAATGGCATTAATAATAATACATTTGTTTGTTTTATTTATAAGTATCTTGCCCACTATGGATCTGCAGCAAATATTTAATCCTAGACAGACATCTCCAGCACCCATTGCCATTAATATTAGCTTGTTTTCCAATACTATAGCAGCTTAAATAAAATAATAAATAAGGGAGATAGGTTACAAATAAAAAAAGTTAGGTTTTAATTCCAGTTTTACAGTGCCTTCTAAGTTTCCCCAACATTTTAGTCATTTTTTAAAAATAATAACACTGCTCTCTTGTAGATCTGTTTTTTGTTGTTGTTATTGTTGCTGCTGCTGTTGTTCTTTTTATGGAATAACAATGCTTTTTATGAACTTGTTGCATTGGCACTTGGGATGCCAACTAATATTCCTGTGTTACAAATCTAAACATATTTTTGAGTTACTCAGAATGTTTTATTATTGTGTATGTCTCTGCTCCTTCCATTACATGAGAAAATTACCTAGGATAAATGAGTATCACCGTAGCTCGAGAAGCTTGAACTTATACAAAAGCACATTCATTAGATTCACAAAATGTTCCAGCCAAATCACATCTAGAATTTATACTAGTTGGTGCTAAAGAAATACATATAGTAATAATGAAATGACTTTTTAATGCTACAGTCTATTACATTTGTAAGAAACACTTTCTTGTTTCTAAAATTTAATATTTCTTTTTCTCAGTAAGCCTCATTATGAGATGTGGTGAGAAGCTGCATGTCCATTATATCACTATTAAATAATACAACCTTTGGGATTAATATGTGTTAGTGAATTTATTACAACCCTTCAGGCATTGTTGATACATAAAATCTTATAACGTTTATTATATAAGATTTTATATATACAAAATTTCAATCGCTTGTCCAAAAGTCAGTTCCCTATTTTTTTTTTACAGTAACCAAAGATTTTTCATGCTGAGACACAAGCCTGTTCCACTGGTGTAAGATCCTTGTGAGATGTTTTAGTTTAATATACTTTGTTTTTTTTTTCCTTACTTTTTTTTTTTGTTAAAATTGGAACCTACTGCATTGTAGATATTCTTTTAAGAGTTGGTATATAGCGCCCTGACAGGGAACACAACAGAGAGTCCCTGATGGAGCAGGGGAAGGGTGGAATGCAGAACTCAAATTCTAGTAAAAAGACCAGACTTAATGGTCTGACTGAGACTGGAAGAACCCTGGAAAGCATGGCCGCCAGACTCTCTGTCAACTGAGAACTAAAACAATTCTCGAGGCCAACTCTTTAGACAAAGATTGGACTGGACTGTGGGACATAAAATGATACTCGTGAAGGGTGTGCTTCTTAGCTCAAGTAGATACATGAGACTACATGGGCAGCTTCTGTCCGGAGGCGAGATGAGAAGGCAGAGAGGATTAGGAGCTGGTTGAATGAACCCGGGAAATCAGGGGTGGAAAGGAGGACTGTGCTGTCACATATAGGGAGAGTAATTAGGGTCGCATAGCAATGTATGTATAAACTTTTGTATGAGAGACTAACTTGAATTGTAAATGTGCACTTAAACTACAACAATAAAAAATAATAAAAAAGAGTTAGTATATATTACTGCATAAATTAGATGGCTACTAAAGTTAAATTTATATTTTTAAATTACCGAATACCTTGGGTCAAGGCTTTGAAATTCTCAATGTATAAATGGCATTACTAGTACAGTATAGGCTGTGAGTTAATTATTAAAGTTTTTCATTTACACCATGTCTATAGCTAATTGTTTTAAATAAATGTAACGTATAATTATTATTAATGGTATTATATAAAGGATTGACTTTAATTTTGCATCAGTTCTTTAAATGCTTTTGTTTTTAATATACATCCATTCTTATGAAATAGTTGTCTAAATAAAGAATGATAATGTTGAATTGTTTCAGAATTTTCAAAATTCAAAAAAATATTAAATACTGCATGGTAATTGTGATAAACAATATAAATATGTTTAACTCTGCTGTTTTGGCCTTTTTTCTATATAGAACAATTCCTTCCTACCCTGAATTCCACTGTCCTTGGTGAAAACTACTTCGATAGAACCTACCAGATGCTTTACCTTTTGGTTAAAGGAACTATACCTGTTGAAATCCACACTGTTGCAGTCATATTTATTTCTTTCCAACTACCTGCTGTAACAGAAGATGATTTTTATAGTTCCCGTAATCTGGTTAGAAATCTCGCCTTGTTCCTAAACATACCAAGTGACAAAATCTATGTCAGCAGCATAATACGAAGGAAGAGTTTGCGAGCAAAGAGATCCACCGGACTCACAATTGAATTAGAAATTGGAGATCCTCCCACTCAGTTCATAAACAATGACATTACAGGTAAGAGTAGTGGAGGTCTGAGATAGAGAAATGTAGTTACCAAATCCACATCCACAAATAACCCTATCAGTGTCTGGTGAGCCAGGCCTCAGGAAACCCCACCACCCCTGCGCCCAGAGCCCACAGAACCTTTTCCCTTCTCTGCTTCTGTAATCTCAAACAATTTTTGACCTGTAAAGGAATTTCAGTCCCTATGTTTTATTGCAACAATTGATAAATTTAGCAAAAGAATTTGACCTAATATGGAAGATCCAGGAAGGCCTACCTAAAGAAATGATATTGTAACTGAGAGATTAATCAATGCAAAGAGGAGGGGTAGAGGGAAAAGAGTGTGTCAGGCTGAGGAAATGGTTGATAAGAGTTTGTCTGAAGAACTGGAAGAGGTCCAATAGTCTGGAGTGGAGGGAGCCAGGAAGAGCAAGCTGCTGGAGATGAGGCTGAACCGTAGGCAGGTGCTAGATCCTGGAGAGCTTTGTAAGCCAAAAGAACTGTGGACGTTTTCCTAAGGGTAGACCCTTGGAGATTCTGAGCAGTGGAGTGGTGGGTTAGATTTCCATAGTGAACTCACAAATGCAGATGTGCAAAGAACGTGTTCTTTATTTCTTACAACTGATTAAATCATCTTCACTAGCCATCACCTCCCCTCTGTGTTCCTCGCTTCCCATTACTAGGTTATCAGGGATAAAAATAAGCCAGACTGTCCCATCAGAGGCATCTCTGCTGGTTTAAATCATTTCCCTGGATGACTCAGTTTGGGCATTTGGGTAAATGCTCAACCGTTCAGATTCTAGCTCTCTTATCTACTTCTCTCAAAATGGTGTCTGTATACCAAGGGGCTCTCCTTCTCAGGGCTTTGGATTCAGCATAATTTAGCCTCTCATTAATTTAGTCTAGGAGTGTAATGGGTTTATGGTGTATACACAGATGGCTCAGTGACTCTTTGAAATCCCTGGCAAGCCCTTAAATGTAGCAGGGTCCAAAATTTACAGTATTAACCACTTAGATGTTCAAAGAAACTGTGGCTTATTTCTTGTATATGATCTAAATTTCTTCACACTCAACCTCTATAACTCCCTATCCTCTTAAAGCACTTTTAATTTGTTAGTCAGACATATCCAGATAGGTATAGGATAGGGGCAGGGTGCAGGGACAGGCTAATGGCATATTTCCCAGACATAGACTGGGATAGGGTTTCCAGTCTCTAGGAAAGCCCTATAACTTGGCTTGGGACAATATCACAGCAGCATTATTGGGAAGCAGCAAGAAAGATGTGCATGCAGTGGTACTCCTGGCTCCCCACAGCCTTCTCATAGTGTCAGAATATCCATAATTCCAGGATATCTTAGAAAGGGGTCACAAGTGCTGAGGAGACCTCTGTACAGGCAGAGTCCTTGAGTCAGGAATAAGAGAACTTCAAGTTAAGGTCTTTGGTTTCTAGGTGGCAGTCAACAGTAATGGATGCCTTCTCATGTCAATCGGAGAGAGGGAACCTGTTTACAGTGAAGACCAGACCAGACCTGTCACTCTGTACCAAAAGCCAGTGAGGACAAAGTAGTAGTAGTATTACATGGGCATGAAGCACCTTTGACCTGCTACCACCTGGGAAGCCATCTTGGAGAAGAGTGTCATTGAGGAAGTGAGGGAAATCTGAAAGACTGAGCATTTATCCAAAAGAGACTGAGTCACTCAAAAGAGACCTTTTAAACTGGGAACTGAAATTCCCCAAGACTGTGGTTTTCAGTGTCATATGAAACCCACTGCCTCAAAATATTGTCTCCTTCTTCCTGGATACACTAAGTCTCATGGCTTAGCCTTAGTGGAAGAAATTCAATGATAAAAGTCCTCAGTGCTTGACTCTTGATTAACAAGGTGCAGGATACGTAAGAATGAAGGATTAGCAAGGCCTACCATACTCCAAAGTGTTATTCTGGTTACAACTGTTTTTTTAAAGATCACTCTGACAACAGGTATGAAATGGAATGGAAGGGGGCGAGAATGGATATAAGGAAACCAGTTTAGAGACTGGTTTAGTAACCCCAGGGATGATGGCATTGACTAGGGTTATAGAGGGGGAACAGAGAGATTTAGAAATTGGTAACTGATTAGATATGATGTGGGGATAGATGAAATAGAAGAAGGGATCAAGGAAAAAGTGTCAGGCTTCTGACAAAGGAATATGGTGAATGGAAGCGCCGATTCATAAGCTAAGGAGCACTATCGATCGGGGCAGCAGTTTTAAGAGGAAGAACCCAGACTTGGCAAACTAGAAAAAGAGAACAGAAACTATATATGTCTTTAGAACTAACCTTGACAATTGTCATATGTCCAGAGAAAGTAACATTTTGTTGGTAATTTAATGACAACTTTATTATCTTATTAATATACATACTGTCAATTCGATGGATACTGATTATTCTTCTGCTCCAAAATCAACACTTTTTTTTTAAATAATATGCATTGATAGACATACATGATGGTACTTCACTTCTAAACAAAGAGTGATGTGGGAAAGTATCAAATTCAAACATATTTTACCGCTATGCCTCCATTCAATTTTCTTATATATATATATTTTTATTTTAATTACAGCTTAAAAACATATTCTACAGAGTTCTTCATTTTCCCAGCCTCAGTAATATGATTTTAGCATGTTTAGCTCAGGGTACAATTAGAAAGCCTTAGAATTCTATAACGTGGATAGAGCAGTGCAAATGAAACTGAAGAGAAATAGTCACATGTTCTCACAATTCTATATTCCAATAATCCAGATGTCATAATATTGTTTCCCCATAGATCAGATGCAATTATCTGAACTCCAGGAAGTTGCTGATTTACTTGGACAAGCTATAATCTTAGAAAAACTCAGTAGTGTCCTTGGATTTAATGTCTCTTCCATGTTTATTACTAATCCTATCCCCAGCCCAAGTGATTCTGGCTGGAATAAGGTAAGAAAATGCAGCTAGAAAATATCATCTTAACTCTTTTAAAAATTGTTACTTAATTCTTATTTTAACTTTCATGTGGTATTTCAAGGCAGTAATTTAGAGGGCATCTCTTTCTAATTTGCCATTGGCTATTTTTTTATGGGATCATTAAGAAGATAATAAAGTAAATGGAAAAAGGAGCATATATTTAAAAAATTGTTTATTGGTACAAACAGTGCTTTGCTTTGAATATTTATAACAATGCTTCATGAATTCTATCTAGAGGAAGTATTGTAATAATATTAATTTCACATATTGAACATATTTTTTAATAAACAATGACTATTACACTTAACCTGACTGAGATACATTAGCTGCTGACTGCAGTTTATCATGTGAAAAACCCCTTTTGTTATTCCTGTCCATTTACAGGTGACTGCCCAACCAGTTGAAAGGTCTGCATATCCTGTTCATTATGTGGCCTTTGTGTCCTCGCTCTCAGTTATCACTCAGCCAGAGGCAGCACAGCCAGGAAAGCCATTTTCCCAGCAGCCTTCAATAAAGGCAGTAGATTCTGATGTAAGTCATAATTCAGAGCTTTATTTAAGTGAAGGAATTAAGCTATAAATTTTAGACAGTGAGTCAACTTAATTAATCTTGATACTCTTGCTACCTGAGGATTGCACTGCCTCTCAGAAGTTGGACTAATGCCAGTGGATATCATCTTTAAACAATTAAATAATGTTCTTTTTAAATGAATTTGTTCTGCTGCTTATATTTATGAATTCTTTGAATGGGAAAAGGGAGCTTCCTTAGATTTTAAATTTATAATGAAGGTTATGTTTCATGTCTTAAAAAAAAAGTGAGTAACAAGACAATTGTTACATTTCTCTACTTTTTTTTCCCTTTAGGGTAATTGTGTATCAGTTGGGATTACTTCACTTACTTTGAAGGCCATACTAAAGGACTCCAATAATAACCAAGTCAGTGGTCTTAGTGGAAATACAACAATTCCATTTAGCAGCTGTTGGGCCAACTACACAGACCTTACTATTCTTAGAAATGGTGAGTGTACTATTTTGCATCCTCACATGTGTACCCATAAATTGAGATAGTTATAATTTTCTTTTAATGAACAAAGCATGCTATATTACTCTAGCCAATAAATTATAGAAATCAGAATGCTATACTCTGTTTTATTTCAATATATATTTAGTCTAGCTTATAAAATTATATTTAACATGCGAAACAGAATAGAAATTAAAATAAACAAGGGAATTAAGACAGATAATTTAAGTATATATATGTGTGTATATATATCAGAATTATATCATGATTTACATTTTTACATTTTCTTTTTTATCTATTTGTGTATTTTTCTAAATTTTCTCACTAAGTATGTATTAAATTTATAATAAGAAAAATTAATATATGGATTTTCAAATTCCAGAAAAGAAAGGATAAGGTAGGTACATATAGCTTTAATGTCCCATGCGAGAGTTCAGAGTTGGGCTGGAAAGCTGGCTCTAATCTTTCTAAAATCCAATGCAAAAGAGAAAACATGAACATTGCCATGACTTACAGTATCCATCAGATAAACAAACTGGTTTCTATGGAGAATTATAACTTGGTCTGAGATCAGAAAAAAGTATCTCCTCTGAGTTCTTATAAAGCGTACTCAATGAATTTGTACTAAGCAATAGCTTCAACATCGTTACAGTAAATACAGCCATAACTTTCACAGTGATGCTTCTTATATTTCCTCTACGTGGGGTGATGACATAACTCCAGTTAGTAAAAACCTTACTAGTGGGGTCAAAATGAGGTATCCAAAAAACAGATCTCTACTGCTGATGCATTGTAGAGTGTCTAAACCGATGAAATGGATGAACTGCTATCCCTGAGACTGGCTTCCATTATTCTGTTTACTTCAAACTGGGGCCCATTTAAGACCTTTAGAGGCACTGACATCTGAAAAAGTTATATATAGTGGCACTCCCTACTTCTCACCACTGCTCTCTCCTCTCAAACACACACACACACACACACACACACACACACACGCACACACGCACACGCACGCACGCACAAAGTCAGTATAAAAACAATAATAAAGACTGAAATAAGTCAAATAAACTCCAACAATGGTCTTAGTTTTTTCCATAATAACTATCAAAACCTAAAATCATTCCAAAGGAATTTTTTTCTTTCCTTTTGTTTCCTCATACTTTGGTGATGCTCTACACCAGATATGTTTGGTCTGCCTTCTGGGTAGAACGTCTCAGTGTGTCCAATAATAATCAAATGACAATGAGTTCAACACTGTGGTCTAGTA